GCTTTTGGCCTCGCACCAGCGGCAAGCATTATAATTAACAACGTATGAATAAATGGGTTTAGTTTCTAAGGAAACTGTGGTGCTGCGTCAGTGAGGGGTACAACGAGATAATTTGATTTTATAATCCAACTGCTCAAGGTAGAGTTCAAATAACGCGAACATATATACCACATGTGTACAGTTGGTTATTTTGTACTGTAAAAAAACCTGTTTAACCGGTCGGCTGCGCACGCTGCGCTTCTCTATCCACTTTGCTTTTCCCGCCTTATTAGAAATGAGCAGAAAGACTTGGCGGAAAAAAAGCAGTTGGATCATAAATAACCTAGTAGACAATTCATTGGCGTGTAGTATTCCCTAGTATTTTGACTCCTTGTTTGAATTCGACGAGCCTGTGGGGGAAGTCAAAATACGGCACAGCTCCTAAAAATACTCAGGTATGTCACCGCCAGATGAAGAAAATCCGAAAAAATCACCTTGAATCTTATTTCGCAAGATGATCATCTCACACCTGGAGCTTGGGCTGCCTGTGGTGTGAGTTCAGATAAGTTAAGTTTTTTTTTCTCTCAAGGTGAAGTAACGGGATATTTTCGTCTGTCTGAAAGTCATGCTCTTTTTCTGTTACATGCCTACTAACTCACGTTCCATCACGTACCATAAAAACAACGTCCGAAGTCCGTTAGAACATACTCAGTCATTGCACTACACGAACATTAGTCAATTTTTTACGTGCTTGAATTGTATTCCACCAACCAAATTCACATTTACGCGCACCCGGGTATTATTCACTATTCATGACTCATTTCCTCGGGAAAGTTCACAATGTATCATCAACTTTTGGTTTTCCTGAGAATGTCACGCAATGGTAAAAACATCAGTATGGTCGTGAAACAAAAAGTGAGTCATTTGCATCCTGTCGCGGTCAAGTAAACATCTTTAGTGGCAGCGAGAAATTTTTAACGCTTGCCATCTCCAGCTCGAAGCGTTGCTTCTAAGTTATCACGAGCTAAATTTCAGAGGAGTAAAATCAAAATATTCCTACGTCGTGAGATCACTAGGAAAAGAGTACCCTCTCGACACCGTTCGTGTTATAAGTCACCTTCTGAAGAACTCATCAAAATATCTTCGGTCTTGCAAAATTTTACAAATTTAACAGGTTCTTAAGGACGAATTCAACGCTGCATCGCTGACGAAACGTCGTTTTAAGGTAAGCTCTGAAATAATTAATTAGACCAAGTTGATTTTTGTCTCACCCACTCGCAGTGTTCCATCAGTAACATTGCCAGTTTGTATTAACAAAGAAAAACTTATTACATTGTAAAATATAGACAATCCGGTATGAGGCGTGGGGTCCTGGTTTCATATAGGTCTTTCAGCAAAGTGAGCCGGCAACAACACACTAGACCATATGATCGCAGACAAGAGCAAGTTATGAAAATGTTATCGATCTAAAGTGCTGTGTCCCTGCTTATTCTATTTTTTTAGAAGAATATTTAGTGAGATCCGAGAAAACTGAGTGTTACGAGATAATCTGAAGCCTTTTTCCTTTTTATTTTGATTATAAACTACCGTCAACGTTGTATATCCTGTTCGCATTATAGAAATTGAAAGAGGAAGCAGTTGTCACAAACATATGTTTCGAGGGGAGATGTAAAACGCTCCTTGCTTATTAAATGATATAAAACTTGGTAGGTATTTTCAGTCAGAGAAAAATTTAAGGCGACAAATCAAAATACGAATTCTTTAACACATCATTTGACTTCTTTTGAAAAATGTAGGTTATATTAAGAACACAGCGTAACTGAATATTTATCAGCACACCTGTAGAAAATGAAAAAAAGCTGAAATCCAGCTCGCACATAGATTTTGGAATAATTGGTCGTCTTCTTTGCTCTTTTTTTTGTCCTACATAAATTAACGAGTGAACCACATGCTCCTCGTTCTTGTTCGTCATAACTCGAGTCGGAAATTTAACGAAAATTTGAAATGAGATTGCCTAATTGCATCTGTTTATTCTACATAAAATCATGAGTGCTACCCGTTGGTGATTTTCATTGAAGGCATTTTGGGCGGCGAATATTCATCTATTAGTTTAGTTTGAAATGACAGAAGGAAATAGTCCAATATGAAAGAAAGAAAACATTACAATTAATCCGAGTCATTTCGTTAGTGCCATACCCCCTGACTGTGGTGTACTCAAAGTTCTACGGAGCATGCCCGAAGGTGTGGTTGCAAAAAAACAACATGGCGCGATCGGTAAGAAGTAAAGATCGTGTAGATTATTATTGCTTATAAAAGCAAAAGGAAATATAAACCCGGAGTAAAATTGTATCAAGTGGAAAGACTTGTCGACAAGCGGAAATGGTCGAACAAAGTTTCGCATATTATCATGATAATTTTGCAGAGTTGCAAACAGTGGACTGCTGATTTTATGACTAGCGTATTTACGTGTACACTACAATATATCACATTTGAATTACCTACCTTAAAATGCCTGGCTAAATTTCCAAAGTGGCTACCAAAACAACGAAAAAAGGTGCCGATGCGGCGAGCGCTTTCTATATTTTTTTGACTTGTTGTGATACATCCCTGGTGAAAATCTTTGAAGGATCTTTAACGATCCTACAAGATCTTTATGAGAACCTTTTTAAGATCTTCAAAATTATCGTTAAGATCTTCAGGGATATTTCATTCTCTTGCCAGGATCTTCAAGGATCTTTAAAGTTCTTGTCAAGATCTTCAAGGATCTTTCATTTTCTTGCCAAGATCTTTAAGGATCTTTAATTTTCCTGTCAAGATCCTCGAAGATCTTGTCCGGATCTCGAAAAAATCTTGACAAGAACTTCAAAGATCCTTGAAAGATCTTTGAAAATTCTTTGAGGATCTTCTAAATTCTTGTTAAGATCTTTGAAGATCTCTCATTTTCTTTGCCAAGATCTTCAAGGATCTTTTACTTTCCTGCCAAAATCCTGAACGATCCTAGCTGGAAAATTTTGAAGATCCGTAAAGATCTTGGCAAGAAAATTAAAGATCTTGGAAAGGAAATAAAAGACCCCTAAAAATCTTGACAAGAAAATGAAAGATCCTTGAAGATTTTGAACATTTATTTTTCATCCCACACATTTTTCTTTATAATTGTTTCTTGGCCAAGGCCTGGAGAGGTCAAGTATGATCAATATCTCGGATTTCTTGTTATGGAAAACTACCTTGTGAATTCATACTTAGAAACGAAATTACCATCAGAAAAGCAAGTAGAAGGAGGCAGTAGGGGAGGGGTGTGCAGACTTTTGGGATATGTATATTTTCTTTTTCTTTTGCTTCCCCATTTAAAAATCAAATAAGAGAATTTTACTTTGGTTTTGTAAAAGTTGTTTCTTATGAGAAAGGATTCAGCATAAACTCTCTCCTCTTGTGGAGACATGGTGGTCTTATGATTAGTGAGGTGGAGTCAGGGTCAAGAGATCTGCATTTGTAACCTGGCCAGGTCATGTGTTTTGTTTTTGTGCAAAATAATTTACTCTCACAGTACCCCTCTCCCCCCAGGAGTATAAATGAATACCAGAAATTAGTCGGGGGGGGGGGGTTTAATAGTTTAAATTGCTGCTGTTACAAATTATATGAACTTGCAACATACAGATGATTATTTTTTCCCAATTTTCCCTCGCTCCTACAGAGGATTCATACAGATATGAGTGTCGTACCGCGTTTACATTATACAGGTACAAAAGGTCGTCCAGAATAAGTGTTTCTATCTGGAATGAAAACCTCAGTTAACTCATTCAGAAATGACTCGTTTCGAATAATTTTACTCTGGTATCATGTGGCAACCGAGATAAACTCATTCTTGAACAAACCTCATTCCGATATTATGTAAAAGGCCCCTAGGAGTTTTTATTCCCAGAGCATCATGCTATGCTTTCCTGCCAGAACACTATAAATTTCCATAGCGTTGAAGCAACAACCCGCTTTGAACTGTTACGCTGCCACTGAAACAACGATTAGTGACCGCAAAAGTAACATATTGTAATATTGTCAATTCAACATAAACAAAAATCTTCATACAGGGTAAAGATTCATTTGTGTTGGTATCAATTATTGCGTGACTAGCTTCTGATATAGCTGGGATAGGGGAAAACACAACGTAAAACCTGGGCTCCCGGCAAGAAGTAATACCCAAGCGTAATATAATGACCGAAACAGCTTACTGGTCTTATAAAATCATAAATAAACTAGGTAAGAGTGTTAAGTTAGATTTTTTTTCAAATTGTAGCGATTTATGCCTCCATATGCCAATAAAAGGTGGCGACAAATAAACACACCATGTATATTTCATAGTCGCTAGCAAATAAATTTTGCCGGACTTTGAGTTCGTCTCACGATAGAACAACACAATTACACAAGAAAATTTTTACAGTAACCTTATAACCATCCTCTGTCTTTGTTTTGATGCTACTTTTCGACATAGAAAAAGTATGTCGGACAAAAATATTCACCAAAAAATAAATATTTTTGTGCCAGCCTCAATAATGTCAGGGGATTAAGTTTAGATGATAAAACAAAGGATTGTGTCAACACAAATACCGGAGGTCAAGTAAATTCGTTACATGAGGTCACACAACTCGGGTAATATTCAGAGTGAAAATTTGCATATTTGAGCGGTCGAACGAAAAAAAGTCATTTCTCAAAAACTAAAATATATTTTCACAAAAAACCTATACCACAATTATTGGGACATATTGGGCTACAAAATATGAAAGTAGGAGAGAAAACGAATTTGGGCGACTTGCCGCTGTTTGTCTGATGCAGGTTGACATTAGCTCTTAATTGGCTTCTGATTTTGTGTCTATGTATCCCTCCCATTCTCAGAAGGGAAATAATATTTATTTTGCTACTGGGTAATATGTTGAACTGATGTTTACAACCATTTTCAATCACCTTTTTTTCAGGCCAGGATGACCTAAAAGAACAACTTTTTAAGAAGCATCAGTCTTCTTACAGTTGCTATGGCTACAGGAAGAAGTTCAATTAAAGTTCCATGTGAAAATGAAGACTTACCTGACAAAGAAAATGCACCAGATTTTGACGAGGACACTTTACGAGGTGAGTTAGGTTCAACTTCGGCTTCAGTTATTGTTAGAACAATTTCTATTCCATCAGTTTCAAGAATGCAAGCACGTGTGGAAAAGGATACATACACTGTATGACCACTTTAAAGGATATTTGGCCAGCCATGACTCTCTTCTATGATTACAATATGCTGTTCATTGAGAAGATCTATGACACAGAAACTTTTGCTATTTTCTTTTCTAACAGTTCAAAGCAATAACACAAAGTTATAATAAGTTAAGACTTTATTTGATCATCATATAAAATCCATTGTAAGTTTGCATCATAGGTACCATCATCGTCATCACCATCATCTTTCTATTTTAATGAAACATAATCGCTTTGAAACCTTTAACATTCCCTCCTTTCTCCTCAAGCAACCCACAGGCATTTGATCTTCATCCAAGCCAAAGAGGGTGGGCGGGGGGGGGAGGGGGGGGTAAGGGGGCTTAATCCTGCCTGACTGACGTTAGGGAATTTGAATAAAAACTGTCACATCTAATTTCCAGTAGAGTACAAGTGTTAATTATCATTGAATATGGAGGTGTTTAAGGTAGATAGTGAACTTTCACTAACAAATGGCTCAGAAGAAATAAGGCTTCAAGGTCTAGGTTTTAAAGCTTGGTCAATTAGTTTTTAAAGCTTGATCAATTAGTTGAAAGTGAAATTGATCATTATTTCGCCTTTTACATAAGATTGTGTGGGGCAATTGAACATTTTATTAACTTTTCCCAGGGAATAGGAATTTTAGGAAACCTATCTCCAAAATCTCTCATCTCCAGGGGTTTGCCTCGAGTTAAGTGATGCTTATAATTCTCATCATTATTTTTACCCATGTTGTCACCTACATTGTTAGCATCATCATAACTATTGAAAATCTGCAGATCTGAAATCTCCAGATCTTGGCAGCTCTAACTATACACGAATAAATATTAACTACGACAACAGACTTTGACACCCATTTTTTAATTTTTTTTCGAATTATTTTATTTTTTCTTTGCAGCCACAGCTGATGTTTATAGGAATGAGGGTAATGAGGCCTTCAAGAAAGGAGATTTCATCAATGCTATTCATTTTTACACCAAAGGAATTAAAATGAACTGCAACGAAAAAGAACTGAAGGCCAAACTGTACAACAACAGGGCAATTGCACATTCTAAACTTGGTAAGATAATGAGAGCTTTAATATGCATTTTTTTTTTTATTTTGAAGCTATTGAGTTGTCAGTAGTAGTTTTCTGAAAAAGGTGATGATTTTTAATGCATGCCCGGAAAATTTTACATCATATCTTGGCCTCTCAAATATACAAATAAGTAACCTCTTACCCCAGATATCAATGAGCATCACAAGTTTTTACCAAAATTATAGTAATGGTAGTTGGTTTGCAACATGTATGGCTAATCAGAGATATTTATTTCAATAACAGGAAATCACCAGGATTCACTAAGGGATGCAGAAGCAGCCATTGAGTTAAATCCAACTTTCCTTAAGGCAATTGTGAGAGGTTAGATATGTTAGCTGTACTATAATAATAACAATAATAATAATAATAATAATAAAAAGAACTCAACACTCTAAGGTTAAATGAGGTTAAATGGAGTTCAATCTTGTCTCAATTGACTTTAATTAAGAGGTCGAGACCACCCTGATGTACATTTGAATCCAGCTCTTGACTGTTACGCCATTACTTTCCATTAATCATGATGAGAATATTATTTTGAACGGGATGAAGATCTCAATGCAGAATGCAAAGCAAAATTTCAGCATGAATATTTTAGTTCCTTAAGTTCAATGAGTCACAGGTGTCAGATATGTTAAGAGCGTGTCCACGAGAGCACCGGGCAGTCGTGCTACATGCCATCTCACCGATTTCAATGAAACTTTACCAGTTTAAAGGGTCTACCCCAAAACTCAAAAAAAACAGACTGGTTTCTGTTTTGGTTTTTTCCGGGGAGAGATAGACCACCCCTCGGTTTTTCTTGGTTTTCACCAAGGAAATCGCTTCAAATAGGTAAAATGTCCCTCAAATAGGTAAAATAGGTAAAATGGCCCTCTGGTTGAAATCCAACAGTAAAGAAGGTCATAACTAGAACAGTCACAGAATCATAATCATTAATAGTAAACTGCTGAAAATTGGCAGGAGGCAAGTACATGACCCAGTACCTACCAGCCAACAAGTAAAGTTGACCAGGTTTGTTTATTCCTAGTAAATAATAAACAAAAACAAAAACTCTATCATTTTAAACTATTCTTCTGCCCCCTCAAATTCAAAGCTCAAAATACATCCAATTGGGCTGGTTTTAAGCATCATGGATCTACTTAGAAAGCACTACAAACCTATTGAGCAAAATCGGGTTTCAATCATTAATGTTGCCATGGCAACGAATTCATTCCAAGAAAAGATTAACTCCTCAAAACTTCAACACTTTTCAGTCAAACTGAATTTTGCTCAATAGGTTTGTAGTATGTTATGTCTCAAATACTTGTGGCAAATTCGGAGCTGTTAGCACAAATACATCCTGAGAAATTTAAGGGGCACCCAAATAATCATGAAAAACCCATATTTGCAGGAAATGTGATTTAAAAAGGAAATGTTATGGAAACATGGGTTCAAGTTAGCTTTTTACAATAAAAAAACAGTGTGTTGGTAGAACTGCTTTAAAAAGAAATATCCCTAAAGTTATTTTTTGGTCTTCTGAGTAGTTTTCCTCTTTTTGGGTCCATTACAAGGTTCTATTTCTCCAAAAGCTCCAGCTGCATAAGTTACACCCTCGCCACGAATCCTTAGATCTTCATTATGCTGTTTAGCCTGTCTCCTGGAAACTCTGTATTTCTTGTGCTGATCTTACACTCTCTTCTCTGCTTGTTTAATTCTCTCTGAATCCCTTCTCCTAGCTTCCATTTTGGCAGTATCACTCACAGTGAGCCCAACCTTCTCCATGATAGCATGTTTCGCGGAGGCACAATATCCTTCAGCAATTTCCAGATCATCTGGAATACTTTCATCCCACAGAGACGTATCAATAGCACAAGCGCCGATTTTTCGCGCAGAAACCGGGATTGCAGGCGGTGGAATCATTTCGCTTACCACGTCATCTTCACCGACGAACGTGATATTTACCCTTCGTTCGCTCGTTGCGCTTGCCGCTCTTTTCGCTTGTTTTTGAACTCCTTTGAACCCTTTACGCTTTCTTGAAATTCCCTGCTTTAAAACAGACTGCTTTTTCCCTAGCTTCGGCATAATTTAACCCTTTATAAACTGAATCAATAGATCAACAAAAGTGACTTGGACAAAATTCGTTAGAGCTCCTTGTAACTCAGTAACCAGGCCTCAAAAGTAACTTCTAGAAATCTGGAATGGACTACGGTCTGTTTGCAAACTCAGGACTGTGGAACAGCGTTAACGCCTCAAAAATAATTCGGGAAAAAGGCTCTTGTTTCGAATTGGTTACCATGGCAACGGAAAAACAACGTTCAAAGAAGGCCACTTTTTGACTCTGCAAAGTAATTTATGTAAAAACAAGCAACATATTCAAAATCTAGATAGAGTCAAGTAAATATTTTTCCAAAAAAAAATTGGGGCGAAAAATTTTTCAATTTTACCAAATTTCAACCAGAGGGCCCCCTTAAGAGCGTGTCCACGAGAGCACCGGGCAGTCGTGCTACATGCCATCTCACCGATTTCAATGAAACTTTACCAGTTTAAAGGGTCTACCCCAAAACTCAAAAAAAACAGACTGGTTTCTGTTTTGGTTTTTTTTCCGATGTCAAAGGCGAGCTTTACGTATTATCTATCCAGATTGTTCGTACAATGAGGCGCTTCTTTTGACTGGTCTAGTTCCCTTACACAACCGCCGCGAGTTCTTATGTGATAAGCTTTTTAATTCCATCCTGTCTAATCCCTCGCACAAGCTCTATAGCCTACTACCTCCCAAGAATGAGTGCGAAGTCAATTTAAGGAGTCAGCACTCTTTTACTACACGGCGCCTCCACACCATTCGTACTCGAAATAGTTTTATCCATCACTATGTCCATAAAGCAATGATGTAATATTGTTTTTCTCTTAATTATATATTTTTGTCTTTTTAATTAGTTCTTCTTAGCCATGTATTTTTTTGTAGTATATATTTTATTGTAAATCAAACGTAATTCAGCCTGTGGCTGCAAGGTTCTTGATAATAAACTATCTATCTATCTATCTATCTTCTTGGTTTTCACCAAGGAAATCGCTTCAAATAGGTAAAATGTATGAAGCTCTCACTGTGATGGTATTTAACCGATTACTTTGAAGATTTGCACGCATATTTTTATATCCTTGGTTAATGTCTGTTGCGAGTATCAGTCAGTTTGATCGACGGCTTGTCAATGAACAGAGGCAAATATACGAATGTGTTTTTAGACTTTTCGATTCATCCAAATATTTGACAACTTTGAGGTCAAATATCTCCCGTTTCCAGAAAGCTGCAACACTTATCTTAATTACCCTTTATAACCCATCATTTCATCTCTGAAAATCATCAAAAAATCTTTGGGCGCTACTATATTTTTGTCTTGGATACCTTTTAAAATCTGCGACTGTGACAAGTTTCTCTCAACGACACCTATCAGGCAATTCTTGCTCTAGGCGGTCACTTGACAAAATAAACCTACATTTTTTAGCTCTTTATACAAGATGATTGATCAAGAAAGGTGAGAAATGTGAAAAACTTTCGAGAAAAACTTTCGAGATGCATGTAGACGAAAAATCAGCAGATATGGCTTCTTTACGGCACAAAACATTTATTAGTCTATAATTTGATTATTAATCATCATCATTGCTCATTGTAGGAAATTCCAAAGTCATATACTGCGTGTTGGTCGATATTACTACACGTTCCAGAGTGCTACAACTTCGGCTTTTACAGACGAGAAATTCTGCGCTCTCGCTCGAGAGCAAACATCAATAGTTCTATCGGACTAAAAACTGTGCTTCTATTCCGAAAATAAAATTAAAATAGTGTTGTCGTTGCCACTTACCGCCATCGAACATTTCCATGCAGAACTCCGCAATGCTAACATCTGTTGTGTGACCCGAAGACTCTCCGTAGGAATTATTCAAGCGCGTTGTTCATGCTGTCTGCTAGATAACAATTTCAGAATAATCTGCAGATCTCTATGATTATTTGCCTGCTTCGATCGTAAAATATCTGCATATTTTTTTCAAGCATTCTATTACTACATATAAATCTACATCTCTCTAGATCGAGTGTTGCCGGCGTTTAATTGCGTGACTTGTAAAATTTTTAAATAAGAACGAGCCAGCAGTAATTTGACAAGTAGGCTTCCTGCAAATTTCCCTTGATGAAATCCCAAGACATAGCCAGTTGGTTTCATGAGCAAAGACAACAAGTATGAAAGAAAAGTGAGATGCAAATGTCTTTTTTTTAGCTTAATAGCAGCTGCACCCTCTTCTGCAGTCTTCGTCTAAATTTTGCAAGGCCCCTCCTTATCTTCTGCCTTGTGCAGTCAGTTTCGAATTCTGAAGCTAGATCATTGGCATCGGCCTCTCCGTCCTCATTCATATTTACAGAGGGGGACCTCATCAATAAACCAATTTTTGTTACGGCAGATAACCGGCTGAAGTATCGAGCGATTTGCTGCTGTATCAACCGGTCAGTCTTAGACAACATTTCTGGCTGGTGTTGTCTCTTAAACTCGATATTTGGGAAGTCACATTAGAGGCGGTTGCCTTACTAGTTTCCTCCCTTGTCCATTGCACGTCTAGGAAATAATTCTCTGCTTTCTGAGAAAAGGTGGCTGTTTTTTGTGTTTTCCAAAGAGCCCATCCAAAGTCCACTTGGCTAGTAAGGGATTGTTCGTCAAAATTTTACCTGAGGTCCGACCTTGAACGTAGCCATCCCCTATAGAATGGCAAGCCGGTCTTGGTACATTTCCTCTTGATCTTATCCTAGGCGGAATTTTTTTGTGCAGCTTCACTGTGTTTGTCTTTGTCAGGGTACATTTGGATGGCAGCCAATAACTGAAACGTCTTGGTACACCCTTCTTTTAGCAAGAATATCTCGCTTTCATGTTTCGTCTATGACGGATTGGGTATAGTTCTCGCGATGACCCACGTTCAGAAATCTGTGCACGTTGCTGATAACCACCCGCTTCTACGATTAGCTTGCTGAAGGTTTCTAATGTGATGAGCCTAGTGAGACCCTGAGGTGCTTCAAACCGTGCCAGTTGGTCTGCGCTATAAACTTGTCGCAGTTCTTAAGTTAGAGGGAGGATCGCCCACCTCTATCTATGTGAGCGCCTCTACAGTACCTGCGTATCCCTAGCAATCATATGATATAAAGTTGATCTCAGTCACAAATCACCAGTAAGGAAAACTGATGTTCAGATAAGCGCTCTTCTTGCCCTTCTTCCTTATTCATTGCCGACTCTAAGATAGCAGCTACAGTAAGCGTTCTATTTAGGTTTACAGTCACCTTGCCGCTACCAGGAAGACTCGCCACCAGCTTTGATTTCTTCTGCCATCTGCAGATTCATCTCTCTCTCACTTTATGTCACCGATTTTTATGAGGAGGATACTGGCATTTACGAACCCGAAGGTCTGAATCTCACACCAAGTGGTGCACGATATTTGAGGTACATCGTGAAATCGCGGCCTTCGCAATCTCCAAATAAGCCAATACGCGCTAGAATAAGCTCCATCTCGGACGAAACGCATGTTTGGGATACACCGACGTCTCTCAAATGTTTTTTTAAAGCTGTATACCCACGAATTTAGAGGTATGAGCTGTTGCCGTCCCTGTCCAGCGCGAGAAAAATAACATTTGGTTCTACAGTTAGTTGCAAAGGAACAAGACAACTGCACCATCTTGACTTTATCAATTCGAGTGTTAGATTGAATTAAGGGCCTTTTAGACACTAGATTTCTTATATGGCATCACTATGAAGACGTAATAGAACTAATACACCTACACTACATAGGATTAAAATGACTGTTGCGCTGTTGCGAGAAGGAGGAAAATATTACTGGAAGTGTAAACTCTTTTTAAAAAGAGTTTCAGAGACGTTTCAGAGATGTCTATCTTTGATCAGCTGTCACAAAAAAATGAACCCCACTTAAATTTACTAGGAAAAATGAACTTACCAACTCCTTGTTGAAAAAATTGGAATTCATTTGACCGATACGCTGGTTGTTTCAATTTTGCTTTTTCCTCGGGCTGCTATGAAACAGTTCATAAATTGACTAATGAATAAAATGTTTTGAAATACCGTTCGGAATTTGCCTTTTTTTTTCTGCGTGCAAATCAAGGGTAGACAAAGTTTTTAAAACATTTGACTAGAATTTCATGGAGTTCACCTCGATAATTTTCGTCGGCCAGAGTCAAGACGCGCCAAGGTAAGGGACATCGCCCTCTAGTAAAATAATTTTCCAAAGAATAAACGTGGCAAGCGTGAGGAAACGCACATTTTTTTTATCATTGTGATCAAAGCCCAATGATGTACCTAAATTGGTACTTACGGTATCAAACCATCGATTATGACAGGGTGAGCTTAATTTTTCTGTGAAGGTCGACGTGACTTCACATTTAAAGCGTTTTTGACGGAACAAACTAGTGAGCATCACTGCACGAACTGAGAAAGTAAAAACTTGTATTTATCTCCCACGCGTTTCGTCTGACAATAGTAGACTTCATCAATGATTTTTTCAAGTAGGGTAAATAAGCTTGCTAATATACAAATAGTAAATAAGTTGTCTCTTTGCTATTGAAGCCAATGGATAGAATTCGTCAGGTGCGCCTACGGTGTTATACATGCGTGACATTTTCCGGACGTTACATGTACGAGTACGTGATCCGTTTGAGGGTCACAGATTTAGGGTAAATATTTCACCCCTCAACATCACGCAATGTCTCTAGTTTATAGAGGTCTTAGAACGTTTCATTATATGGAGTTGCCTTCTGCGGGTAGAAGGCTACAAGCGAATTTCTCTGGCGTAATTGCCTTTGATTTCTTAATTTATGTTGTCGCGAACCTAGTTTTTGGGAGTCACGAGACAAAAAAAACTTATGAGGACCTAGTTTCATGTTCTAATGGAAGTAAATAGCAAATAAAAACACATTTTCTTGAGAAATAAAGTCACAAATGACGGGGGTTCTCTGAAAAAAATAGTGATAGAAAAGGATTTCAGTTCTGGTCAATATTGACTTTTCACGGCCTACTTCCAAATCTGAGGGAACGCACTGAGGGAATAAAAAAACATAAATGTGTGATAATACAAGCAAGAGAATGAAAATCCAAATGAAGAAAAAGGAGAAAACATAGGAACCCGTGTTGCAGCGTGCAGATATCTTTCGAGCCAGACCTACACACCTAAGCCCGACACCACCCAGAGAAACTCGAAAGAGTCCTGTATATGAACTAGCTCGCACGTGCACGCAGGAAAGGCCATGACAATCAGCGAAAATAATAGCAAATGCAAATGATATTTGCAGTCAAAAAACAGAAAAATAAGATAACAGAAGGATTAAGAACTTTCTAGAAGTATCTTCTTGAAAAAAAAAGATGAACAATTTTTACTTCTCATGAAATGTCACGCAGTAACCCCACAAATACTATTTCTCTACGTGGAATTTCTTGATGGTGGAAAGTGGAAAAAACATTTTCCAGTCTTTTTTTCTGGAAACATGGCGTAGTTAATGAATTTATGGGGCTATTGTTATTTCCATCAAATAAGGGGGGCAGAGTTTCCCGTCATGCGCGGTATGGAAAAGCCGAAGTTTGTTACACTCGGGAACTTGTACGTCAACAAGCAGGCGACATGTGACTTTAAAATCTCCTCTCCTGTTACAGTTTCCTTATTGTAAACTGTGCGATAATGATAATAGACGATCAAAGTATAGGCTAATGAATTTTTTGTTCTGTACAAGAGCCCTATGTCCTGATTTAAGCAAATCTTGAAAGTAATAAACGACTGAAGAAAGAAACGCAACGATTTCCCCATTGATTTTTCGTCAACATGCATCTTTCTAAACGTGAAATTTTCCATTCCTATAAAAAAATCTCGAATGTTTTTAACATTTTTCACCTTTCTTGATCAATCATCTTGTATAAAGAACTAAAAAATGTAGTTTTATTTTATCAAGTGACCGCCTAGAGCAAGAAGTGCGTGACAGGTGTAGTTGAGAGAAACTTGTCACAATCGCAGATTTTAAAAGGTATCCAAGACAAAAATACGGTAGTGCCCAAAGATTTTTTTGATGATTTTCAGAGATGAAATAAAGGGTAATTAAGATTAGTGTTGTAGCTTTCTGGCAACGGGAGATATTTGACCTCAAAGTTGTAAAATATTTAGATTAATCGAAAAGTCTAAAAACACAGTCGTATATTTGCCTCTGTTGATTGACAAGCCGTCAATCAAACTGACTGATGCTCGCGGCGGCCATTAACTAAGGATGTAAAAATATGTGTGCAAATCCTCAAAGTAATCAGTTAAATACCATCGCAGTGAGAGCTTCATATATTTTACCTATTTGAAGCGATTTCATTAGTGAAAACCAAGAAAAACCGGGGGATAGTCTATCTCCCCACGGAAAAAACCAAAACAGAAACCAGTCTGTTTTTTTTAGTTTTGGGGTAGAGCCTTTAAACTGACAAAGTTTCATTGAAATCGGTGAGATGGCATGTAGCACGACCGCCTGGTGCTCTCGTGGACACGCTCTTAAGTCACTATCTAGCTGTTTTAGAAAGAAGGATCAGGTTACCTAACTCTTAGTGTTTTTGTGGGAGTTGTTGATCCCAATTTAAGTGTTCTTAGAAGTTTCAGTTGTCTGTAAAGCAAAATAAATCTAACTGAAACCTAATAGGGCCTGTTTATTCTTTTCCGTTTAGTTTCTTTGTTTTATTTTGTTTTGTCTTTTTTTTTCTTCTGGTCTGTAATGATTTCAATGGTTTCAGGTTCTTTTCTCAGAATTGAGCTACAGTAAAGTATGCTTCTTTGTATTTTTGCCTACAGGAGCCGCTGCTTGTCTTGAATTGAAGAGATTTGAAGAAGCAATCAGTTGGTGTGATAAGGGACTAGTTGTATCCTTTGAAGGAATCGTTCATTTTTAACCGTGGGTATAAAAAATAAAGTTTCCACAATTTGATGTTTCAAGGGAGAAAATACAAAGAAGGGTATTAATTATGATGGGAACTTGTCAGCTCATATACTTTAAGTGTGTGTGATTAAAAATATAGGAGACTTTATCACCTCATGACTTATTAATGAAATTACTCCTTTTAGCCAATTTGACTTAGTTCTACTATCCATGCCAATAACTGTTACATTAGTTTAAATAACCCTTTAATTTCCAGACCAAATTTGTCTAGAAACGATAATAACAAAGTAGTTTGCATTTAAAAAGCAGCAATGTTTTTATCATAACAAGGTCACCCTTTATCATCCCTCTTGTTCAGAGGCTTGGGAACCAAGCACGCAAATGTTAAAATGGACTATTACATATCTTTTTTGTTTTTTCCACATTTTTTACCCTTAACATAAAAAAGATTGACAAAACCAATAGGATCTTGTTGTCATTAAGACTTCAGTCTGTCAGTGAAGTGGGAGATAAGTCCATGGAGGAAAAAGATCCTATTAGTCATGACCATGGTAGTGCAAGTTCAGGTGATGTCAAGAAAGTCATAGATCTCTATAATCGGGGAGAAGAAGCCATAGAGTACCTCAACCTATATCTTAAAAAAGCTAAAGAAGTAGGAGACAAGCATGGGGAGGGTAACGCTTATGGCAGTCTTGGCAATGCTTATCACCGTCTGGGTGATTTCAAAAAAGCCATAGAGTACCACAACCTACATCTTAAAATAGCTAAAGAAGTAGGAGACAAGCATGGGGAGGGTAACGCTTATGGCAATCTTGGCAATGCTTATATTAGTCTGGGTGATTTCAAAAAAGCCATAGAGTACCACAACCTACATCTTAAAATAGCTAAAGAAGTAGGAGACAAGCATGGGGAGGGTGGTTCTTATGGCAATCTTGGCAATGCTTATATTAGTCTGGGTGATTTCAAAAAAGCCATAGAGTACTACAACATAAGTCTTAAAATAGCTAAAGAAATAGGAGACAAGCATGGGGAGGGTAACGCTTATGGCAGTCTTGGCAATGCTTATCGCCGTCTGGGTGATTTCAAAAAAGCCATAGAGTACCACAACCTACATCTTAAAATAGCTAAAGATATAGGAGACAAGCATGGGGAGGGTGCTGCTTATGGCAATCTTGGCAATGCTTATCGCCGTCTGGGTGATTTCAAAAAAGCCATAGAGTACCACAACCTAGATCTTAAAATAGCTAAAGAAGTAGGAGACAAGCATGGGGAGGGTGCTGCTTATGGCAATCTTGGCAATGCTTATATTAGACTGGGTGATTTCAAAAAAGCCATAGAGTACCACAACCTAGATCTTAAAATAGCTAAAGAAGTAGGAGACAAGCATGGGGAGGGTGCTGCTTATGGCAATCTTGGCAATGCTTATCACCGTCTGGGTGATTTCAAAAAAGCCATAGAGTACCACAACCTACATCTTAAAATAGCTAAAGAAGTAGGAGACAAGCATGGGGAGGGTAACGCTTATGGCAGTCTTGGCAATGCATATATTAGTCTGGGTGATTTCAAAAAAGCCATAGAGTACCACAACCTACATCTTAAAATAGCTAAAGAAGTAGGAGACAAGCATGGGGAGGGTGCTGCTTATGGCAATCTTGGCAATGCTTATATTAGACTGGGTGATTTCAAAAAAGCCATAGAGTACCACAACCTACATCTTAAAATAGCTAAAGAAGTAGGAGACAAGCATGGGGAGGGTGCTGCTTATGGCAATCTTGGCAATGCTTATGACAGTCTGGGTGATTTCAAAAAAGCCATAGAGTACCACAACCTACATCTTAAAATAGCTAAAGATATAGGAGACAAGCATGGGGAGGGTGGTGCTTATGGCAATCTTGGCAATGCTTATATTAGTCTGGGTGATTTCAAAAAAGCCATAGAGTACCACAACCTACATCTTAAAATAGCTAAAGAAGTAGGAGACAAGCATGGGGAGGGTGGTGCTTATGGCAATCTTGGCAATGCTTATATTAGTCTGGGTGATTTCAAAAAAGCCATAGAGTACCACAACCTACATCTTAAAATAGCTAAAGAAGTAGGAGACAAGCATGGGGAGGGTGGTGCTTATGGCAATCTTGGCAATGCTTATATTAGTCTGGGTGATTTCAAAAAAGCCATAGAGTACCACAACCTAGATCTTAATATAGCTAAAGAAGTAGGAGACAAATCCTTTGAGGCAATAGCCTACTCTTCACTAGGATGCGTTTTTGAGTTGCAAGGTGGACTGCCAAAAGCCGTTGAACATTATCGAGCTAGCATAAACTTATTCAATTCCTTGAGAGTACTTCTAAAATCTAAAGATGAGTGGAAAGTTAATTTTCGAAATCAGCATCAAATGGCGTATACGGGTTTGTGGAGAGTTCTCGTAGAACAAGGTAATGTAGATGAATCCTTATTTGTTGCTGAGAAAGGACGAGCTCAAGCTCTGACCGACCTCATGGAATCCAGTTTTTGTGGTGGAACAAGTCACCACAAGGGAGAAGATGAAGATTGTGAAGTTTTAAAAAACGTTCCATCAAACACTGTCTTTCAGGCAGTGGACAAAGCTAACGTCAATCTTTGGGTTGTTTCCGAAGGAAAACAAGTTCGGTTAAGACAAAGTAAACTCAAAGGTTTTGTTTCAGAGAATAGTGGAGTTAGCCAGTCCTTTGAGTCGTTCATGCTCGGTGTCTATACACAACTTGGTGTTCGTTCTAATGTGAGATGCGAGAATCGATCTTTAGATGCTTTGAGGGAGGGCCGTTCAAAAGTGCATGAGAAAACCAAAGAAGCCAACCCTCAACCTCACATCCAACAAGACGGATGCTTGAGCACTTTGTATGATATCGTTATGAAGCCGGTGGCTGACTTGATTGAAGGGGATGAGCTACTCATTATTCCTGATGGACCCCTGTGGATCGCTCCTTACGCTGCATTGAAGGATGGTAATTCTAAATACCTGTGTGAATCCTTCATAATCCGAGTCGCTCCATCGTTAGCAAGTCTTAGACTCATTGCCGATTGCCCAGATGATTATCACAAAAGCAGTGGTGCGTTACTTGTAGGAGATCCGTGGGTATCCGAGGTTACTAACAGCGAGGGAGAGAAAGTCCTCGAGCAGCTTCCGTGTGCTAAAGAAGAAGTAGAAATGATCGGAAAAATTCTGAATATCACGCCAATCACTGGCAGACAGGCCACGAAACGTGAGGTGTTGAAAAGACTCAGTTCCGTTTCCTTAGTTCACTTTGCGGCACACGGATGTCCGGAAACTGGCGAAATTGCTCTTACACCTGACCTAGACCGAATATCTACTGTGCCTACGGAGAAGAAGGATTACATTTTAACGATTCGAGATGTGTTGAATGTTCAACTTCGCGCCAAACTTGTTGTGCTCAGTTGCTGCCACAGTGGTCGGGGCGAGATCAAGGCTGAAGGTGTGGTTGGCATTGCGCGCGCTTTTATGGGAGCTGGTGCTCGGTCTGTTGTGGTGTCCCTGTGGGCGATTGATGACGAGGCTACTCTCCAGTTCATGAAATGCTTTTATCAACACCTTGCAGGAGGTAAACCTACAAGCAAGTCACTGAACCTGGCCATGAAAAGCCTCAGAGAATCAGATGCGTTCCACGACATCAAATACTGGGCGCCCTTTTTGCTGATTGGAGATGACCTCACGTTTGACCTGATGGCAAAGGAAAGTGAAAATTTGAATAGAAAATCAAATAAATGAGAAAATGTTTTTTTTCATCTCAAAAGAATGAAGTAGGAACTTGGAAGGTTTAAATGTTTCTCTATTTTAAACAATTTTTGGTTATTTTTCTTTACTTTTAATTTTTTTGTTAAATGGAACTTGAGATGTGCAACTAACCCTAAGCAAGAAATAAACCAGTTTATTTCATTATATTTTGATTAGTGGAATTGTCATTTTTTGTTACTTTAACAAATTTACATGCTTGCGAAGAGAACGAAATGTAACAAGGCCTCTGTTATGAACGAGGTTTCCATTTCCACCAACATGTCACTCAGCTCTATTCCTGTATTACAATCAGTTGTATGGAAAATAATTTAAAGTTTATTTCTTTTACCCAACCAGGGGCTTTTCCACCGGATTTTAATTACCTTTATGCTCTAAGCTTTTGATAAGCAAAGAAACAATTTGTCATTTGCAAAAGTCGGCGAATTTTTATTTGTAAAACTTTGATTGAATATGTATGTGAATTGAATATGTGAATTGATCTTAGACCGTTTTCTACATCATAAATTACTTTGTTACAATTTACCTTCATCTTTACAAAAAAATTGATTACTATTTTGAACTCAATCCATTTTAATGCAATCTAGTTCTGTCAGTGCCAAGATTGCCATTCTAAGCTTAATTTGAAGAAGTAAACATCAGAGATGATGTTATTAAATTTACTAACCATATGTTAGAGACATTACACCTACTTTTAGGGGTGTAGCCAGCCTCTAGACCCGTAGACCCGGCCTACAATTGTTTTCTGCCCGCCTGACTTTTATTAAAAGATAATATGACTCTTGCAAATGTTGAAATAAAAATTGAAATTTGTGAGGGAAGAGGCTTACATTTAGTCAAAAAGCTGGCTACAACCCTGTTTTCAATCAAACGAGTCTGGCCGATTTTTGTCCGTTTTACCAAACACTTCTCCGTTCGTTTTAAAGAACGACGACAGAGAGGCTAAAAATTGTCCATATAATCTAAACTAGGAAAGAGGGACGCAGAGTTCACTATAATTAAAGTTTCCATAGGTGTGACTTTTATTGTATGTGACATTGAATTTGTTGTTTCTAGTACGACAATATTTACGCTCATAAATGAGAGAAGCAGTTAACGTAAGCCATGTAGTCTTCAATGGGAATTATTTTGGTGAAAAGGCTCATGAATTAATGTAAACCTAGTGCGTAGTTGAAAACGTTCAGGGCTTCAGGATAAAACTTCTAATTGTTGAAAATCACCTCTTGAAATTTTTTCATCGCTTTTAATTTACCTCAGCATGATTTGAGGATGTCTGGTGATATGCGTGGTTGAATTTAATGTAACTAGGATTTTAAAGACATGCTGGGACAGTTTCAACTAAACATGGTTTGTATAATGTCGGTGTATTTCGTGTGAAGTGTTTTGATGCTATTTTAAGTTGAAGATAATTGTTAATTTACCTTAGTTTATATTAATTAACTCATGAACTCCCAAGTTCTGAAGAAAAATTCTCCTAACTGATAAGAATGTGTTTCTCTTTGCTGCCGCTTGTTCCGAGAATTCGATGTAACATGTTTCTAGGAAAAGATTATCCTCCAGTATGGATTTTCTCGAATTGTTATTGACTCCATGTTTGTCGGTGTATTAATACCGTGAGGAGAATTTAAATTATGATCAGTCTTGGGAGTAAATGGGTTCATTTTAGCGTCTCCCTTTCGCGCGTATTTTACTTAATGCCTTGAACGTTTTAATGCATTATTATTGTGCTTTTTTTACTTCTTTGTGTAAGAGAAATATACAGTGTATAAAATACAAAAACTGCGTTGATTTACATTGTCTGTCTCCATCTCTTATCTTTTTCCTCACACAAGTTTTTACACCTTTTCAAATTTGCGCATCCCTTTTTTTTCTCCTTCCTCTGGTTCCTTCATTTTTTTTTTTCATCGCAATTTTCCTTTATTCCTATCTTTACACGCACCTCTTTTATCGCCCTCAACTTTATTCTTCTGCGCTTCATAGGACGCGACTATCTCCTTGTCTGTTTCAGTTTTCACTCATCTCAATCTTCGCGCAACGTCTGGCTTCTTACAACTCATATACCTCGTTACTCCCCCATAGTAGTTGTGATCATGCGTATTATGTCCACTCTGGGACGGTGTCCTCTTAAAGTCATCTCTAGTAAAATCTCAGATTTCCTTTCGATCGATTCCTAGTCCACAGGGTGCCAGTGCTTGCTCTCCTCGGTCCTCTCATCATAATAGCAGTTATAAAGTGGAAGAGCTCCCTCCAAGTCTCGGCGACATAATCGGTGCATTTAGTCGGAAACGAGTCCCTCAATGTCCAAATTAAGGCTTCTTCTATCATCTGATTGGGAATGGGTCAAACTCTCGCCCCGGGTCCACCTACAATGCGAATCCAAGATGGAGGCAGGCCAATCCACAGCCGGACTCTACTGAGTCGGTAGCCGCCATCTCGGATGTAGACGCAGAGAAGACCCTGAGGAAGAGTTTCGACATAACAAGATTTAAGAAAGGATAAGTTACAATAGTGCTTAGAGAGATAGTCGATGACAATTTGAGAGATTCATTGTAAGCGACCACGTTCTGTCGATTATTAAACTCCATGTCTCCTCGAATACGCACTCCTGTATGCCCCTCTTCCCCTTCCCTATACATCCCTGTACTGCAAGTTTTATCATCATACAGCACAATACAACATTATATCCCAGAGTAGCACTGTAAATCCGTAAAATGCAGTAACTAGACAACACTTCACAACAATATGTACCCCTAGATAGCACTATGCTTCCCTCTACTGAATTTTAAATCACCATACAGCGCTATATAAACAATTGTTCCAATTTGGCGCCAAAATAAGTGCGAATATTTGTCCGCGGTCAATTTCTCGAATTTTCTGTTCCAAGATGCGGAAGCTGTGAGCCTCGAGGAACAGATAATATCCAAGGACAAATATCCGTACATATTTTCGCGCAAAAAAGACGCTATTGCGTTTTTTATCCTTCAAATATTTTGCAATGCACGTGAAAAATGTTAATGAACAGCTTACTGAATTGAATACTCGATGAAAACCTCTGCGTCGTTTAAAGAAAACACAGCATTTTCCAGCGCAGTCATGACTCGTCTGACGTGAAGATACAGAGATCGAGAGTTGATTATGGCTTCAAGTTTCAAACCCGTCAAGGCGGGAAATATGTCTTGAATTCTTGGGTTGAACTCAAAAAGTCTGAAACAAAATCATTCATGATTATCGTTATCAATTCTGAATGATTGAAATTCGATCCACGTTTACTTTACATAATAAATTTTACTGCCATTTTGCCAGTTATACAAAGAAATCAAGACACTGAGCAATACCCACAACAAGACACAGCTACAGTGTTGTGAATCTCCATCCCCATCTTCAATAGAACTATGCTATCACGAAGGTAGTGCGCGTGCGTTTGCATTTTAAAGTCACTTTAGCACAAAATAAGGACCCGATTGGCGAGAATACAGGCTAAACAACACAACAGCGCTGGTGCTTTTTGTGTTTTGGCGTTTGCTCTCTAAAAAGTCCGAGAAAATTTTTTCGCTGTCTATTAAATTATTGATTGTTTTCATTTCTCTGGTTCTTCTTTAAAACCGGAACTCGGTTCTTAGCGACTTGTTCAAGTACTGCTCTTATTTAAGAGTGCTTATTTAACTATATTTTTCGACTATATCAACTCTAGGCACCCTAACATCAAGTTCACTATGGAAAAGCAGTTTAATCACAAATTACCCTTTTTAGATGTCCTGATTGACAACCATGACCCAGTTCCTCTCTAACTAGGATTTACCGCAAGAAAACTTTCACTGGGTTACTAACTAATTATTTCGGCTTCACCTCATACTCTTACAAAGTGGGTCTCATTAAGACACTCGTTGATAGGGCTTACAAGATTAATAGCACCTGGTTAGGGTTTCACGAGGACATTAACAAACTTACTGATATTCTAAAAAAGAATCTTTTCCCTGCTCATTTAATTAATCGAGAAGATTATAAACCGTTTCATTACTGGGACTCAAAACAATCATCATCCCCGGGGTTCCCCTCCCACCACTTCACCTACGTTCTACTTTAAGCTACCCTACATGGGCCACTTTTCTGCTATCACTCAAAAAAAGATCCGCCATTTATGAAGCGCTATTGCAATGACTTGGATATCAAACTGGTTTTCTCTTCCTTCAAAATCGATAACTTGTTTGGTGTTAAAGACCCTGTCCCTGACGGGCTCCGTTCACGAGTGGTCTATAAGTATGTGCTGGTGTAATGCCTGTTACATCGGTGAAACCTGCCGGAATTTTTTCACACGTGTTAGAGAGCACTTAGTAAGTGACAAGGCCCCTCACATTTTCAGGCAATGAAAGATTCTCCGCACTGTCGCGCTCTGTGTTCAGCAGATAACTTCCATGTTTTAGATCACGCCTCCACCGGTTTTCAGCCTAAGATAAAAGAGGCTATTCGTTTTCAAAGAGAACAACCATCTTTGAATCAACAATTACACCATGTAAATCTAAAACTATATTTTTAATTCTCACACTTACATGCTTTACCTCTACTTACTATATAATTCAACTTTCAACGCTTTGTACAGAAATTAACTGAAGATGACAGAAGTTTCTGTCGAAACATGTTTTACAAACTCAAAAGTTTTGTCGCTTTCTTTAAATTCTTGACTTGCCTGCTAATATCAAGACCCTTTAAAACACTTACCGTTTAAACACTTTCTTTCCTATGACGCTCTTAATACGCTCAATGAGCTGCCAGAATTCTCTTAAAATGCATTTTTGTTCGTGACAGTTCGTGTGACAGCGGAATGTCTCTGATTCTTGAAGTCGATGTTGCCGTAGCAACTGAGACTTCTATTTCGATTCTGTTATTTCGCGACGCAAAACAACCCATGGCATTTACAGTTTGACTATTAAACCTAAAATGAAGATGTGTAGACACTGGCTGAATAGATTAATGAATCCAGCTGCTTTCCCTTAAGAAAGCTGTCATACGCTGTGATGATGGGTGGTGTATAAAAACTCTGACGTTATCTGTGCAAAACGTTTGTCTTTACATCGACCAACATCTTGACTTGTTGTTCACACTAACTGAAAAGGGAAAAATTCCGAATTTCAGGCGAATTTACTCATTCTATAAGTCGCGAAGTAGGAAATTAAGAGTGTCCCACCTACCAGAAAAAATTGATCCGTGGAACATTTGCGCCAAAATGTCCGAAAAATTAATAATACCTGTACAAGACAAAGGGATTTTTGATAATATCTTTGCTTCGACTAGTCAAATGATGATATGAGCCCTTGATGTGACATAATTATAAATGACGTCATAAACTTGGGCTCCAGGCCTCTGCAGTGATCATGATGCTGACGAATAATACGATGAACTTATGTTTGTAACGTGAAAATTTTACATTTTGGGATTTTAAATTACGCTTTGGCATCAGTTCATGTCTTGTGTGAGCAAATTTTTTTTGGGTTGAGTCGATGAAATTATCTACTGAGAACTTCTATTTACGATTTCTTGTTCAACCCGACAGAAAAAAAACGAAGGAAGGAAACCGTGGAGAACAATTCTCAAGCGAAATCTTCACGCCACTCAATGATGTTTTACAATGTAAAAGGAAAGAAGAGCTCAAAAGAAACTTAGGAAAGAAAGCAGGCCAGGGACACGCTCCAGAGGTTCAAAAATGGTGAGGATCTGAGCGGTAATTATAAACGACAACATAAAACATTAAATCTAAACTACCATAACTTACAACTTAGTTCTTTTTTATTTATTCAGCACTACGTCTAAAAGGAGAATTGAGAGGTATGTATCTTTGCATCATAAAGAGAGTGGCTTTCTATTCTCGAAACCCCCACGGATTACTGCTGCTGGAGTCTGTGCAAGGTCAGTCCAACTAACCTGAGGTCGGTATATACTCATTGCACACCTCATGAGAAAATGATGGGACAGGGAGGGAAAATCAGGGCGTTGGCTAAATATATCGATTTCAATTCAGTTATTTTCAGATTGAAGCGGGAAGCATTGTGGTTTCCTAATTTAGTTTCTTTATTGTTAAAGTCTAAGATTAAAAGAGCCAATCTCCTCGCTGTTTGCCAATTGTATTCACTGGCGACTGCGGCTTACTGAGAGAGGCTGAATGTTTTTCGACACGAATGCGATGCGTGACATGTGCAAGTAAAATAACATGACAACCGTTCAAGACTGAAAACTATGAATAATGCTGTCCCATTATTTTCCGTTGACGTCTCTAATGCACGCAAATCTAATAAAAGGACTGTTAAAGGGCTGTGAAAGAGATTGGATAAGTTGTTGGTAGGATAAGATCGTAGCTATTCTGATGAGTCACTATGACTTGAGGTGGCAAAAGTCATCTGATTGTGCTTGTGTCATTACTTTAATGGAAGAGATTCTTCCATATTTGAAAGGTTGAAAATATATCGATGAAAAGCAAAAAAATAGTTTTCTGAATGCGAAATCCTTCGTACGCTTTAATCTTTAGTTCAGTATATATGTCCTATATTTGTACGGGTACTTCAAGGAATGGCGTCAAAATCCACGATGGTCCCTCTCCTTCATCCTGGCCTTGCTCCTCCCCCTCAGTGGCCTGCAGGCGGAAGTGACCGGTATAGTTGAGACGAATGTCCTTGATAATCAGCTGCAAAACAGGATAAGTGGAGATGCCCACTCTTGTAGGTGCGGTAAAGGACAACTGCAGTGGTGTCGTTGATGTTACACTCGAGGAAGGTGAACAGTAACAAAAACCATGTCCAGGGAAGGTGAAGAAATTGGTAAACACAAGATCGCTAAGGTGTTTCGCGATCGTGGTAGCCAGACGAGGTTGCGTTCACTATCTATCTCTAGGGACGCAGAGAGTTTGAATTCACATTTCCAATTCCAAGTGAGTTGAAAACGCGCGCAAATGTTTTAAGCTAATCTTACAAAGCTATTGTTCATTAAACTGAGCTATGCTGACAGTCTCCTTTATAGGAGAAAGCAATTTAAAACTTTAGCATGGAGGCTACGCGTACTCTTTTCTAGGAACTAGGGAAGGAGCGCCAAGGAAGACTTTTTAGTTGATTGATGTATGTCTTCATTAAACATTTTTTGTGACTCATGTCATATTAATTAATGTTCACCTCTCCTTTTCAGATTTTCGTTATCCACGCATATACACCCGTCAAAGGATTCTTTACAAAACGATTTAATCTAGTAGAGTATCTCTATCTAATCCGAAGAGCTAATGATAATTCTATCACTTCAAGAGACTTTAACCCTTTAACTCCCAAGATCTGATTGTTAATTCTCCTCTCTCGCTGCTACACATTTCCTTTTAAATTGCTTACGAGAATTTGGTGTTAGATCATAATAATGACTTCTACCTGATAAGTTTGGGTATTCCCATTACCTGTTTGCAAAATACTGTATAGTTATAATAGGGAGAAGTTACATGTTAATCACATCTGGAAGTTAAAGGGTTTAAAGTTATTTAATTAAGGCAAACACAAGGTAACTGTTAGATAATCCTTAAGTAGTACATGTAATGTTATTCATATGTTATGCATGTAATGTTTCACTATCTTCGATTGTTGAAAGGTGAATAAACGCATTGAAATCAAAATTGATTTCCTTCAGGCTCTGCTCACTGAACTACAAGTCTGCTGTCAGATGATTAACGTGGACGCTATTTTGGTCCCTTAAATTTCTCATTTTTAACTCGTGAATTGCGCGCATGCGCAAGAGCGAGTTATAGATACGATGTGGGGAATGGCATTCGCTCGCTCGCTCGATTGGTCGATTCCTGTAAACTTTTTTTAGATTTTAGGCTTTTGAGTGCATTTGATAGTTTTTGGCGAGCAATAAACAGACGAAATGGCGACCTTTGTTGCTAAGAATAGTGGTGGGGTGAAAAAGGAGCCAATGATAATCTTAAAAGAGTTTTTTTTTTCGTTTTAGTTTCAACAAGCGGCGCCAGCGACTGGCAGGCATGCAAGGATTCACACTGAAATAACAGAACAACCTTCGTTTTTCATAAAATTGTAATTTACAATCCTTGAACTTGAAAACAATCCGAAGGTTCATTGAAAATATCACTTACCGCGAAGCGCTCGGAGTTTACAGATGTTCAAAAGCTTTTTCTGTTGTGGCGTGAGATTGTGGACAAAATTAATCATTACGTTTCGTCGCGTGTGTTTTTCCTGTGTGAAGCAACAGAGATGCCGGCGACTGACGAAATAACAAGCTAACACGAAAATCAATAACACCGAAACAAACAATTTTAGCTACCGATTTTCAGTGAATTTTTAAAGAACAATTTTTTTTTAAGTTTCAAGACAGTTTGAAGATTCAACATACATACAACGTACTAAAATGCGAAAGTTACACACCACAAAATTGATAAATAGGCCTGAAATGAAATTCTATCTTGTTATTGAGTATACGTTGCCTAGCACGTGACTTAAATCTACTTAGGTGGAGATCCAAAATGACGGTGGCAGGCTTGGCTTAGTTATATCACTCAAAACTCGTTTCCGTTTGTCTCATTTGACAAAGAGGGAATCGTTAATGTTTTCATTAAGACAGTATTGCCTTGATTTTCTAATATTTATAACGAAAGACAGTAAATTTCACTTTTCACCCACATTTACTTCCAACCTTTTCTTTTGAACCAGAAAAAAAAAATGATAGACGTTTAAAACACATGGCATCATCCACCCTGTCAAATGTAATAGCATGATCATTTCAATTGTAATGCCTTCTTATCCCAACGTTACTTTGTTTCTTTGCTACATTAGCGAACACTGAACTACTGCTCGTACTCTAGATATGACAATCAACCACACAATTCCCTAAACCAGATAACATTAAACATAATCTAAAAAATCATGTGTCAATTCACGAGTTTGCTCACAGAGCACTTTGATTCAATATATGCGTCAGCAACAGAAATGAGATTCATGAAACAGGGACGCATTTTGGAACAAAAATCATGGCAATAACTGGTGTCGGTCGCAAAGGTAGAACGGACGATTACTGGTCATTCTGATTTTTCGGTCATTGCTAACGTAATTTAATTTTAATTGCGGTCATTAAAGCATCATCCTAGGCAGACTCTTGCAAAAGTTTCACCAAAACTGCAGAAACGTGAAGATATTGGCTTCAACGCACAACATTGGAGTTATATCAAGGTGAAAAAATAAATTTTGATTTCAATCCAGCCTTTTTAATTTTCTCAAACACACTTGCAAGTGCAATGACAACTGAATGTTTTTAATAAAGACGAAAGACAGCTGCTCATCCCATTTGGCGCAATTTTCGATCGAGCGTCGAAAATAATCCGAGATTTACTTTGCCACGCTCTGTGATTGGTACAGAAAACTCTCGCTCCTTTCGCAACCAATCAGATGCAACGCTAAACCCAATCGTGACTTGTACCCTCGCATGTTCCCGCGATTTTTGCAGTCTGCTTTTTTCTTCCCTGAATTCATATTGGTTCTTTGAGATAACTTCCTCTTCTCTGATTGGCTGAAGAAATTACTTCGGCTTTGATTTCATGACAATCAATTACTTTTGGTAATTCTGTTTCTTTCTCTCTATGCGATCGACAGAGAAAATGGCTTTGACGAATTGTAAATAGCTTGTTCCTCGTCTGGTCAGTAATGCACATGGCATAGTATTCGTGTTTTCGTGTTTCAAGCGAAATTGTTAGTTAATTCTTTTGTTTCCAATTAACATATAAACGGGTTTAAACCCTGATGATCCAATTCCATTTTATTTTTAATACTGAGACTGCGTGCTCTCTTTGTTACGTACTTGTTCAAACGCATCTAATTCAGTGTTTAAAATAATAAGAGGTGAGGTTGATTCAAAGGATTGCTCCTAATCTAACCTGAACTGATCAACAAGGATCTTTACATTCAATATTTCACTTAATTATATCATAAATCAGTGAAAAATATCTATATTTTCGCCGTAAACAGAAATGAAAAGAAGTATATCGACAGTTTCGCTGTTTGCAGTGACTCAGACAACGACTAAACTGACAAGTTGTTCAATCAATTGATTTATGCATACAGTATTTCATTTTCGTCAAACGCTTAAACGTTAATTCATATGATCAAATTCCGTTCAAACAAGGTACAGAAATCAACAAGGAAACTGCTTTGCATGGAACATTGACTCGAAAGACTGGAAAAGAAAGGAAATCTAATTTCAAAAAGGGTCTAAATATCTTGAAGTTTTCCTCTTAAGAAATGACAATTGGAAAATACAGCTAACTAATGATTAACACGGGTTCTCTTAGCTGCGGAGTATCACTGTCTTATTTCCTTCCCAAGAAGCTGAGGCGTAATAAGGTTTGTCAAGAGATAATTCGCAGGAGAGCGAATGGAAGGTATGCTGAAAAATTATATCAGTATCAGGGTAAACTGTATTGATCATACACGATTGTCTGGTGATCAAAGAAACCAATCACAAGTGCCACATACGTAAAAGCTGGTTTAGCTTACGGCGAAGGCACTTAAAGAGCGTGTTACTGTATTTACCATAACAGTTGTAATCTTTTAAGTTCTCAAGAATAAGAATTAGGGTAAAAAAAACTACCGTATATTCGGTTAAAAGTGATGGAGTCTTTCGACCGCTTAGGGGTGCAGCTGATATCAATGGGAAACTCTTTGTAATATTTTTCTTATATTTGTTTCATTATAAGGTCAACTTAATTTTATCCTATCCTAGTCAGGTGGTGTTGACATTGGCATGACAACTTGTATTGAGATACGCCGGCCACTGTTGCAGGAATCAGCCGATTGCTACTGGCATTTTTTTCCAGGACAAAGACAAAGAAATCCGTATCATGTAAAACTCTCAGGACTGGCTTTCAGTTTGTTGTTGTATCAGTGCAAAACAGATGCGGCTTTCCCTTTTTCAGAGGATGTCACGATGGTGTGGCTGGCTTCGCTATGTATTTTCACCACTATCTCTATAGCTGCCCTTCAGAATGTTCCGCAGTTCCCCGGTTACAAGGCAATCTTACATCGGCTCAAATACGTTCCTTCATTTTGGACTTTAATAATCCTTTTGACCGTCGCCTTGTTTCGATATGTTAAGCTACTAATTTCTATCAAATCTTTGTCATCTTGGGTCGTAATTGTTTGCTTGATGATAAGTTACATTCTGAGAACTTTGGTCGTGGGATTTTTAAATTACACCAGGTTAAACTCCCTAAAGCAGAAATATCCCATTTACATTTTTGTTATATCTAAACTGACAGTGTTCTTGTTTTTCATTGTTACCTTTATCAATCTCATGGCTACCCTTTTGGCCCTGAGTGTGGAAATCCGTTAGATGCATAAAACAGATCGAGCTAAGAACTCGCTCGATTTGAATTTGGATACCGTAAACGAACTGCTGGAGGTCTTTGGTACAACCACTTTTAGAATTAAGTTAATGAAATTCTTTTGGGAAAAGTTTTTCGTCGACGACAGGAACATTCTTTGTTTCCATATACCTTTGGAGTGAGAAAGACAGCGAAAATCGAGAGAGTTTCATTCTCGTCCTCAGAGCCACTCGTTTTCGCTTACTCTGATCACTTGACAAGCTCACTGAAATGATTGCGCTCACTTAGAGCGCAAAAAGTTTTGCCTTTTTTTTTTTTTTACAATTCCTGCTTCTTGTTGCTACCCTTACCTCTTATGTAGATTAGTTTTTTTCAGCGATTTTTTTTTTTCTAGTTTAATGTTCTAAATTTGTATAATTTATTACCTTGTTTGAATTGTTAATGTTGGAACAGTGTGACACATGAAAGACGCAGTGTGTATTTTGAACCACAAAGCCATAATTTCGTCATACTATACAGCAGAAGCTCTCCACTTCCGGTTTTCCGTGTCATGTACTTCAAGCTTGAGCCTCGGTTTTTCCCGTGAAAAAACAACTCCTAATATTAAGTAGCAACGCTGTTGGCAAGTTTGTAGTTTGGGTAGTTGTCTTGAGATTTCGCGTTCGATAATGCTTCTGTTAATTTTATTTGGACCTTACTAATCTTAATGAGTTCCTTTGAGACATTCCCAGAACGGATTGAGGTGGCAAGGTTGTAAAAAAAGCTTATAGAACAGTCAAAAGTCGCGTCCGTTTACCCGACAGGGTGAGACTTCACCAGGTTGTGTAGGATCTTTATACATCGGGTAAATGCCTTTATTTTGAGCTTAAATGAACTCTTTTGACGGATTTTCTATGATTTCTGGTGTTGTGAAAGTCTGCTACAACTACCGATGATTGCTAACTTAAATTTGAATACTTCGTTGCAGAGAACTGCCGCTCCGCGTTAGTTTAAAACTTACCTTAAAATGCTAAGGAATTGACAAAAATATCTTAGAAAAGTAACAGTATTTACGTAAAAAAAACCAATAAAATAATAGAAACCAGGATTCAATAAAGGATGCAGAAGTAGCCATTCAGTCAAATCTAACTTTCCTCAGGGCAATTATGAGAAGTTAGGTATGTTAGCTGTGCTACAATAAAAAAGGGAATTCATCACTCCAAGGTAGATGATGTTAAATCTTGTCTCAATTGACTTTAATTCAGAGGTTGAGACCACCCTAATGTACATTTGAATGCAGCGCTTGACTGCTGTGCCATGACTTTCCATTATGATCAGAATATTATTTTGAGTTAGATGAAGGACTCAATGCTGAATGCAAAGAAAAATTTCAGCATAAGTATTTTAGTTTCCTTTTGCTCAATGAGTGAGGTAGTGGTGTCAGATATGTTTAGTCACTGTCTAGCTGTTTTGAAAAGAAGTAAGGACTTAACTTAACTCAAAGCTGTAAGAGGAGTTTCCTCATTCGTCAAGTATAACTCAACTTCAAGTGCCATAATACATGTAATAATAATGTAACTTAAGAGACGGCATGAGTAAATCTTATTCTTGGTGAACTTCAAACCTTAGTTTGAGTCACTTCCTAGGAATCAATTATCAACGGATTGAGTAAATCAAATATGTTGACTCAAACTTAAGAGAAACTAGTATTGGGATCGAATAAAATTTTTAACTTTGTATATTTCATTTTTCCGTTTTCGCATTGAGTAGGAATAAAAATGGGGGTTCTGGCGCATTTTAATATCCACCTTGATTTTTAAGGCAACTCATGAATTTAACCTTGAAGTCAACCTTGATTTCAAAAAACAGTTCTTGCACATTTTGGAGACAGCCTTGATTTCAAAGACAACTTAAATTATTTACCTGTGAATAATCTTCATACCCTCATCAGAATGTCTCATTCGTGAGTTCTGAAGAGGATGCGAACAATATCAACTTGAACGATCCTCTTGTCACGCCATCGCGGTGTTAATTGTTCGTTTGAAGATTTTCAAATATTAACGTTGTATCTTCTCGCAAAGAAGTCGCGGCGTGCCTTCATTTGTTCTTCTGTCAAAATTGTGTCTTTGTAAATGAGAAGTTATCTCATAAATAGGTCAAAAAGACTCCATGATCTTTCAGAATCTTATGATTAAATGGAATCCTACATTTGTTCTGATGGACATCAATAAACTTATTCTTCTTTACAACTCCTGATTTCTTCATATCTTCCGCATAGCATCTGATCTTCGAGAGATCTTCAGACTGAATACCTTCTCTGAACATGCTCGTCCTCTCATTCTCAGTCAAGAAGAGGTCCTCAAAGAGCTTGAATAGATCATAACCATCAGTGTACTGCGCGATTTCTCCTGCGAATTTCACAGTCAACCTGTTAACAAGAGCTCTTGCGACATTGTTCACGGTAGACATTGTTTGCGTGACCACTAACTGCCGAGTCAAAGAGGAGTGAAAGAGATCCTGATACAAGGACAACTCCTTCACTAAGAATTTAGTTAGAATTTGCTTTTTTGAACGAGTGCGTGACTCTATATCGGCAGAGAACGAGACCGCGTGAGAACTCGCAGGAATGGAGGTGCTTCGTGACAAAAGTCACGCACTTCCGGTTTTAAGCTTGCACAGAGTTATGGACTAGGGGACTCCCCTTTCGTTTTACAACGCGCAATTACGATTCTTCGTTCTATAACGAAGCTGTCGACTCTCTCTTGGTACTTTCTCAGTCTTAGTGACTTTTTTAAAAACACTTCCATGATGGATTGAGGAAGCAAGGTCGTAAAGCAGTCAAACGTGCCTTCCATTTCCTCGACAGAGGTAAGAACGTATGGTTGTATCAGATTTTTGAATGTAAGGTAAATACTTTTATTTCGCATTTCTCAGTTAACATTTTCTCCCTCAAATGCTCTTAATCTGTCCTAATTTTCTCTGATCTCCGGCAGTGAAAGACGTTCGTGCAGTTAACTAACGAGGATTGCTAACTTTTACTTGATTCTGGGGTGTATCAATTGTATTACCGCTTCGTGTTATTTAAGAGCTAATTAAGCTGAGCTTGTTTGAACAAGTTACAGCTGTCGAATTCACAAAAATTTGCAGGCGATACCCAGCATTTACCTTGGATAAAATAAGTAATTCGGGAGAATTAAAAGGAATATTAAAGTCATTGATTTGATTTTGTGCAGGCGCTGATGATCGGAACACTTTCAGTTTCGTCTGCGTGTCTTGCACACAATCATGATCGTGTTTTGCACTAGCTTTCGTGTCAGGCTAACATAAGTATTAATTTAATGTGCTCCCCTATTTACGATGCATTTGATCAAAAACCTATAAACATTTCCAGCTTATTTCACGTGTTTATGTTTATTATTTCATACAGTTTCAAAGTAATTTTTTTCCTTTTTTGATAGACTGCTTAGATTCTCCCTTTTAACTGTACTGTTATACTGATTTCCTTGTTAAATACACGATGACTTTTCTTCAAATGTCACCTAGTGATTTATTGGAAGTGTCCTTTCAACTAACTGCGTTTGATCATTAGGATTCCAATTCATCAACTGGTAATGATAGATTGGTATCTGAGTAAAGTTTACCTTTAAATTGGTAGCAGAAATTAGCCAGGTAAGCCTGATGAAATGCCAGGGGGAAAGGGGATGGACTGGCATCCCGTCCAAGAAGTGTAGTTACTCCCACTCACTTCATGTGAGGAAACCAGTATTATAAGCTCACGGCCTAGATGGGCCACTGCTCAAATACAGACTTTACCCGACTACCGCAGCCTCTTAAATAATTTGAATTGCTGTTGCAACAAATTATATGAACTTGCAACACTTGCCCAATTTATTTCAGTCAATTGAAAATGTATTTTATAAATATTGAATCATATTTTAGTACATATATTTGTTCTTTTGCTGCTTTAATAGTATGACATTAATTGCTTGTGATTTTGTGCCTGTGTATCCCTCCCATTCTCAGAAGGGAAAAAATATTTATTTTACAACTGGGATTATGTTGAGCTGATGTTTATTACCATTTACAACCAACTTTCTTTCAGCCCAGGATAACTTAAGCAGCACCTTTGTAAGAAGCATCAGTCTTCTTACAGTTGCTATGGCTACAGAAAGAAATCCAATTAAAGTTCCATGTGAAAATGAATCTCTCATGAATTTACTGAGAGGGGTCTTTCCTGTGAAGGGGGAGGGGGGGGGGACTGCACACATTATCTAAGCTTTTAAGGGGATAGGTTAAGTCAGGCAGATGCAAAAGTGGCATCTGACACTAAAGGAAAAAATCTGCAGATTTTGAATCTCCAGATCTTGGCAGCTCTGCTTATATTCACTAATAATTATTAACTACAACCACAGACTTTTTTAAAATTTTTTCTTTGCAGCCACAGCTGATGTTTATAGGAATAAAGGTAATGAGGCCTTCAAGAAAGGAGATTTCATCAATGCTATTCATTTTTACACCAAAGGAATTAAAATGAACTGCAACGATAAAGAACTGAAGGCCAAACTGTACAACAACAGGGCTATTTCACATTTTAAACTTGGTAAGATGATAAGAGCTTTAATATACATTTTTTTCCCTTTTGAAGCTATTGGTCTGTTAATAGTAGTTTTCTGAAAAAGGTGATAATTTTGAATGTAGGCCTTGTCTTGGCCTCTTAAACATACAAAGAAGTAACCTCTTACCCCAGATATCAATGAGCATCACAAGTTTTCCCTAAAATTGTTGTAATGGTGGTTGGTTAAAATGCTACGTGTATGGCTGATCAGAGATATTTATTTCAATAACAGGAAATCACCAGTATATTCACTAGGGGATGCAGAAGCAGCCATTGAGTTAACTCCACCTTTCCTTGAGGCAATTATGAGAGGTTAGATATGATAGCTGTGCTATAATAATAATAATAATAATAATAATAATAATAATAATAATAATAATAATAATAATAATAATAATAATAAAAGAACTCAACACTCCAAGGTCAAATGAATTTCAATATTGTCTCAATTGACTTTGATTAAGAAGTTGAGTCCAACTTGATGTACATTTGAATCCAGCTCTTAACTGCTACACCATTACTTTCCATTAATTATGATGAGAATATTATTTTGAGCTGGATGAATTAAGAGCTCAAAGCGGAATGCAAAGCAAAATTTCAGCATGAGTATTTTAGTTCCCTAAGCTTGATGAGCAAGGTCAAGTGGTGTCAGATATGTTTAGTCACTATCTAGCTGTTTTACAAAAGAAGTAAGGATCAGTACTTACCTTCACTCAAACCTGTAAGAAAACTTTCCTCATTCGTCACGTATATCAGGAAGCCACTGGGCTTATGGGGTAGAGCCACCTTACTTACAACAGTATTTAAAAAATAATAAGTGCTGTGAATGTGCAGCTTTGCCAATACAGTGTTTATTTAATTAAAAACTCTTGCATTTTTGTCTTAAAGCTAAAAAGATTTGACAAACTAGTGAATGAAACAGCTCTGTGATCACTGCACAAGGATCAATGGTGGTAAATCTTGTCTTCATCTTGGAGACACAAACAAAATAAAACACGATGGATATTGGAGGCTAATGACACCAAAACGCCTTATTTTGCAGGTCTTCTTGAACTTCGTCCGCCATTTTGGATTTCCCTGGTGCACATTTGATTTGAAAACACTGCTGATTTTATTTGATGGCGACTGCAGAAGGTGTTTCACATGTTCTTGTGTGTACATACAGGGAATAACACAGGGAAATACTTGGGGTTGGTGGGAACTAATTCCACTAATAGTTTTATACCAGAAGCATGGTTCATGGTTGCTGCAAGTTCTGGGAAAAGTCAGGGATATAAAGATTTCCTCAATGTCAGAGAATATACATCTTTGAAAGAAGTCTGGCAAAATTTGAAGTAATTATCTTGCATTTTAATTTATGATTATGTTATGTTTACAAAAATTGAAAGATAATATATGCCCTACTTCTCATGAAAGTTCTTATCTGTAACTCTGGCTGTAAGCATGTTTAACAGTCTGCTTTGGTGATAATCACCCCTTTTTTTACAAATAATAAGTAAATATATATTTCAGTTTACAATAAATGAAAAAAAAATATGCCCAGCTTGTTATAATGATTAGCTATGTAACAGTCTGCATGATTCAGTCATTGGTTGCTGTCATATTCATTACTAAATAAAATGATGAATACAGAGAGAGCTGTTGTTATGCTTCTCTTCGTAAGGAGATCCTCAAGGATCTCTGCAATGTTGAAAATCCTCAAAGATCCCCTACCATGCATCTTCAGTGCTCTTGCTTTCAGTGCTTCCTAATGATCACAACAGAGACATAGCTGGAAGAAATTGGGTAAAACTGACATGATCTTGTTATACTGTAGGCCAAACAAGGACAATGAGAAACCTCTAATCTCTAAAGTACTTCATATGTTAATCACTGTGCAACAGCTTGACAACTTATCTGCCATGGGTGGCATGCAACATTGGTATGCAGAATGAAAAGACGATAAAAAAAGTCCCCCCCCCATCCCTGACATGGTGTATTGAAGTATAGAAAAATCTGACAGAACTTGAATCTCTGTTTACAAAATATAAACAAAGAAAAGACAATATGAAACAATTTCCCTCCTAGCCCCAACATGTTATCTGTAGAAACTAGCATGCTTTAGGTATTCCAGACACAATTCTATGTATAATACAGAATTGTGTCCGGAATACCTAAAACAAAACAAAAAGGAAATCAACTGAAAAACACTCATAATTTAACACATTAAATGCTAATAATATAACAATAAGCTTTTCAAGGAGTTTTGAATCTAAAATTGTTTTCACTTCTTCTTCACTTTAACTTTCAATTACACTTGTCATAATTTGTACCCACTAATTAAATGTCACAGAATGTAATGCAATCCAGTACATCACAACATCAAAGTTATTACCTTCATTGCTATGCCATTCCAATATTTGAAAATGCTAAACAAATGCATTCATATTCTTTTCTAGCATATACTTCATACAGCTTTTAATGAAGTACTTACTGTGGAACAAAACAAGTTCACCAACATCATTTACCATAGAAATCTTTCACTTTACATTGTTCCTAGTAAAAGATGAACACTGTCAGCAAATGACATGCATTATGGTAAAACTTAATAACTTCCCATTTTTGACAGATGTTTTTCAATGAAAATTTCTTTTTAATCGATCTTGCTGTTACTTGAAAACACAAACTTCAATTGTCTAATACCAAAAAAATATTTTCACATTCATAAAATCTTAGCATACACTTTATGGAAATTTGAGCCTGTCAGCCATTCACATGCATAACATGAATTTATTACAACGTGTTCAATCTCATTTAACCCTTCTATAGGCAGTTCACAGTCATGCTTTATCTTTCAGTTCTAATAAACTCCTTCTTTTGCTCTTACAAAGGACTACAACACTTGAAACATCAGCTCTAGAAATTCTTTACAGTGGCTAATTTACGTTATCAACTCAGTTAATGAAGCCAGATAATCTCTTTCTAACAGTCTCTGCTTTTTTTCTGATTGCATTTTTTAATGTCAATGGCTTTAGTTTAATGAACTCAAACAAGCAAGTGCAGTAAATCACTTTTATTAAATCCACTTGGTTTTAACTTTACAATATAAAAAATCAAGCACTATCATATTTTTCAGTTATAAAATAAACTATTTGTTTCTTTTACTCACAGGATGAATGGTTTGGCAAGCTTGAAAACAGCTTTCAGGGTGAATTTGGCCTTTAAAATGATGCAAAAGTTCAATCCTTCAAAGAACCTGCAGAAAAAAAGCAATGAATGAGACATTACAGTGTAATTTATATCATTTATTTACCAAAATCTGTCAGATAAAACCATATTCTGTACTCTATCAGCAAAATAATTGTAATACATCCACTGATGTGCAATAGTTATCAGCATCATAAGATGCTTTTTACCAGTACCAGTATAATTCACCAAATTTATCATTTGACTTCTGACTTTGTTGATTTGGTTGCTAATATTTGAATTAGGTATATGTTTCCATCAGTACAAACTTCTCTTACCTATTCTTTAATAGTTTGTAATATTTCTTTGGCAATTGAATCAAACAAAGGTTTGCACCATCATCCTCTCCATGGATAACAACTGTGAATTTGTCAGTGACAAGATTTTTCTTGATGTACTCTTCTACATTTCTGAATTCAGAGATCAAACAAAGATGATTAACCCACATTATAGTTATAATGAACAAAGCTTTGCACCATCTTCCTTTCCATGGATAACAACTGTGAAGTTGTCTGTGACAAGATTTTCTTGATGTACTGAGTACATCAGGAAAAATCTTGTCACTGACTTCTACATTTCTGAATTCAGAGATCAAACAAAGATGATTAACCCACATTAACATTAATGATTGGTAATACAAGATGTAAAATCTTGGATTACAGGAAACAAAAAATTTACCTCAATTTCAATGCATTTTGCACAAAAGGGAATAACTGAATTGTATATAACCATCATGTGAGTATCTACACTGCACTTTCAACTGGATCCCAAATATCCTGAGCAGAGCGTGCATCTAATTACCACCTTAGAAAGTTTTCTTTTGGATAACATAGTCATTAACATAGTTTAGTCATTAACATAGAATTAAAGAAATACTCTCACTTGGGAGCAGAGATTGTCAGTAAGCATATTTCATTTTGACCTTCGGAACAGTTTTGATACCAAAGGTACCTTCCCAGCGTTCAAAAGGAAAACATCATTGCCTGATTCATCACAGTGATCTGAATAAAGAAATATTGAAAACTCCTTTCAGAAAAGATTATCATACCACTTTTAAGACTTATTTTCTTAAACTACATGAACCAAACACTCAAGCCCTTGGGATTTCAATCACTCACCACTTTTTGTGAAGAAAGAGCTGACATCATATTCATCACAAGTAAGATGAGATTGCTCCAAAGCAATGCAATGTACTTCAACCTGTGAGTCTGCATGGTTTGAAAAATTTTGGTTAAATAGTGACATTTCCTTTTAATTCAATTGTAGTTAATTCATCAGAGGAAATCCTTAAATTAATTATCCATTAATTATCTCAATTAACCCAGACAATCACACAACTTTTCACACACCTTGCAGTTGAAATCTCATGTAATACAAAATGGTTAACATAAAAAAAAACCTTTCACCTTTAGGTATTTTATCTATCATTCATAGGAAAATACTCATCAGATACAAGAGCTTACTGTCAGTAAAACCCTGAGCATGATAGAATGTTATTGCGGCCTTAAATTTTTCACCACAAAGATAGTTACATTACAATCTACCTTTCTCAATGTCCTCTGTTGTTGGCCTAACCGCTGAAGACTTTCGTGGCCATTTGAACCATCAGGATTTCTAATCAAGAATAAAATCATTCAATCATTAATCAATGATCAGCCCATGTTGATTGAACTTCTTAACCACTGTCTTGATTTTTAAACAGGTTAACTGTCTACATTACTTATTCTAAAGTAAACATTTTCCTTCTCATAAGTCTAGGATGACTGTTAATGAGCCCACTGATAATTTAGGTTATCCCAAGGAAAATCAACAGCCACCACTTGCCAAAGGACACTCCTACATCATATTTTGGCAAATGAAGGTAAAAATAAAATCAATAAATTTTAATGAATGAATATACAAAATTAAATAAATCAAAGGTTCTTTTATACCAAATGCAAGTTGAACTTTCTACTTCCAATCTTCTTTCCACTGGGCTCAGGTGATGATGGGGACTGGGGAGGTTGATCAACAGGGGGGTCAGAGCTTTCCTGAACAAGCACTATATGAAGAGGTCAAATGGTTGACAATTTGAATGTTTATTTTTACGTTTATTAGATATGTAAACATTCACAGAAAATTCCTTGATTATTCCCCATGATAAAACATCAACTATATTTCACTCATGGCGAGGTTTATACTGAGTCTACAAATGCATAATAATTGCAAATGACTCTTTCTTCAGCTTAACCCTATTTAACATGTTCCTTCTTCCTGTAATATTCACACATCATCTGGCAAACAGGTAGTGAGAATTCTCAAACTTATCTGGTAGAACTTTTTACTTTGATCTAATCAAATACTCATAACTAATTTACAAGGAAATGTGTAGCAGCTAATAGGAGAATTAACATTCAGATATTTAAGTTAAAGAGTTAAAACACTGGCAAATTTTACAAAAGTTAACTATCCTAAGTAATAACAGATTGAGAGAATATTCCAACTGGAATATACAAAAAGGCTAACCGCAGCCCTTGGCTGAACTACTTGCAATAGAACATACTCATTAAAACAGCAGTAATTACCTTCTTGACTGGGGGCATCAATTGCTGGGAGGCCTTGTATTTCTGAGCTGGAATTGGAGTCCCTCCTCCAGGCTCAAAGACTGCATTAAGACAAAAAGCTAACTATCCTAAGTAAGAACAGATTGGGATAATAGTCCATTGAGGGATACAAAAGGCTAATGGAAACCATGGCTGAACTTATTACAATAGAGCATACTCATGAAACAGCAGTAATTACCTTCTTGACTGGGGACATGGACTGGAGTTCCTCCCTCAGGCTCTGAGACTGCAGTAAGACTCTAACTTGGTGTCACTTCACTATAGGATGATGTCAAGATTCCAAACACATTTAAAGATGATGCACTTCCATTACCAAAATCTCTCTCTGACTGTTTACCCTGCTTGATACCCTTACAACAACGTCCCGCAGGCTTGATGTGGCTGCTTCTATTACGCTTCCAATGTAAAGGTCAAGCTGCTGTTCACTGATTTTTATTGACTCTCTAGAACTGGGAGTAGCATTCTGAAAGTAATACATCGTTATAATTATTTCTTAGCAGAAAAACTGTGAAAGAGAAAAGTATAAATAAACTTCCCATTTGCTGTTATAATATTACTGACAATGATTAATTTAAAAAGGTATTTAAAAGTTATGATTGATTCTTTTGATACAAATTGTTCCTGAAGCACAGCATGCACTACACTTATTTGAAACCCCATTTGAAGCCAGCCAGTGTAGACATAATTCTATATTTAAACTCAAGAACCTGGTACTTAATAGGCTCCTGGCTTTAAGGCAGCTAATGCATCAAGTTTAAAATGAAAAAAGTTAAATGTTTTTTACGTATTTAAAAGGAGAAAAGACACTTTAGAAAAGTAAAGTAGAAACTATTACCCTGGTCTTGATTCCTTTAGAGGTTCAAGTAGTTCATGTATGAAATACACACTAAATCTTAATTCTTTAGAGTTCTGTCACAATATACAGACTGGTAAACCAAAAGCTGGTAAATCCTTATAGGTTCATGCATAGTGGACTCAAAGAGATTTGATAAACAGGGTTTGAAAATAAGGAGAATCTAGTGCACTTTAGACAAGGTTAGTTAGTTTCCAATTGGGAAATGTTGAAAATAAGCTAAAAAGTGCGCCATTGCAATGTGTAAAATAATCCAACTGCGCTCTTTCTTGAAAAGGTAGATTATCGCATTTCTACGATAAAGAGACCCTCACCATATAAATTGAGTGTCCAGCAATGCGACAAAGAAACGGCCGCCATACTAAAGTGAACGTTTGAAGAAAATGAACGAGCAGCTGAAGATTTCTCTCCTCTCTATCGATCACTTAGAGTTCTCCTTCACGTTTTTGGACAGAGATACTCTGTCCAATACTCTCTAATACCCTCCTTTCATAACGTCTGCCAGACGATCGATTGGGATCGTTAGAGAAGTTCGCCATGTTTTAGCCTTAAATTTACTCCCTGCCCCTCCCCTGTAAAGACAGTGTTTTGACTCGTAACCAGGGTCCACACCGTGCCCTGACACTTTTCTTGGGAAGATTCCTTTTAAGCCAAGGCTGGCGATCATCCCCAAAAATTGAAAAAGTTATTTCAAACAAAAAGAATAACGAATGAGATTAGCAATTCAGTATAAACGGAACCTCGCTAGTAAATAAGTCTCCAGCCTGTAAGCGCGCGCAAAAATACCGCACTATTGCACGAATAGGAAAAAGCCTTCTTGTTTAGATATTCCATCTTGCAATGTTTTCCATAGTGCTATGTTGTCTTGAAAATATTTCGTTTCGTGCCTATCCCTTGTCCGCACCTACCTAGTATCCTTTCCACCTGCTACAGTCTGAGATTCTTGATAACTTTGCTCCTGAATGAAGCGCGCGCATTTTATTCTCATTTCACGCGTGAAAAGATCCACTTGCCGCAACAAAATCTTTCCGAATTCTCATTGTTCTTCATTCTGCGCATCTTGATTTGGCAGACTTTTATGTTTATTAGTTAGCGGTAGCTGTCAATAATTAAGAATAGGATTTCCTTGCGCTTGCTTTGGTACCCGCCCTTTGGAGTTTTTTTGTTCCCAGCTCCGTTTTTTTCCATGCTCCGCGTTCATTTCAGTGTTACTTTTCACTTGAGTTTTGGGGATATGAGTCCAATCGAAAAACAGTAGTGAAAACACTTGCGTGATGCATAGAATTTGTTCAAGGAGAAGCTAAGTGATCGCAAAAGTAACATTACAAACACCGCGCAAAATGTTGATTTTATCTATTATATATTATTATATATTATTTCCGCTTTAATATTACTTTTAGCTAACCCTTTCCCATTATTCAGTTATTTATTTTTGGCGTCAAATTTCCTTGCGTTTACATCTGGTCCTTCATTTCCTACGCTTAGTCTCTTGGCTTCCTCTTCCAACACATATGAATTCTCCTTTTTCTTCTAATATAAAGACAACTCAACTTTATGTATGCAGGAGCCCAAAGGCCTGGCACACGACAAATTCCGAATGTGTCCGACGAAATATGGCTAGGAGCTCATTTTAACCACCCCAAGTACAAAAAAATTAACAACGAATAGTACTCACGTTTACAGGGCTCATCTCTCTGATTGCTTCCATCACTTTCTTGAATTTTCCTCCGAATGACTTATGAAGCGCCTAACTCCAACCAACGGAAAGTTATAATGACGGGTTGTAATTTTCGCACGTCGTGATGACGTAACAGACGAGATAATAAACCAATCAACAGATTAGCAAACATACTTAACTCTGCCTCGTTTTCAGGCGCCTTTGCTCTGGTTTAGGAAAGCGCGGGAAACTGGCCGAGTGCGCAGACTGCTGGAGAGGAGGTTATTGACAGATTTTAATAAACGTTCGCCCATAGACTACCTCAGGCTCTAACTTACTCAAAGCGATTGTAAAAGCAACAGACAAGTCCAAGAAAAGAGGCTGAGAAAGATCTGGAGTTTGTCAGGAAAAATAAAGAGGTGCGTCGTTTTGCAGGGCTGTCGGTTGCTTTGGCCACCACGATGCGCTGACCACTGACCGCGAAAATTTAACACAGACTTCTCGCAAATGAAGGGTTCTGGATAAAAGAATGAGAAAGATCGGGAGCTTTCTAACCGGAAGTGTTACTCACATAACCGCGTCTGCGCACAAAGCAGTTAATTGCGTAGCGGTGTGATTGCACGGTGAAAACTTGAAAATGGACAATGATGTACGAGGAAAAGAAAGAGAGAAAAACACTTGTGGTGAGTGCGAGGATTTCATGAGGTCAGATGGAACAACTTGTGGCTATTGTGGCTGTTTCCCGACTCGCCATTCTAAAAAGGGTGCCCGTTACTCCTCTGACTCTGTTGGTGGCACATCGGGTACGGGAACAAGTGTAAAATGCAAGTGCAGAGCAGTGGAAAGATGAAGACCTGGGGTGGTTCCCGAACCTAAAGGGGGAATATACTGAATTCTCAAATAGTATTCTGCCAAAATTCTACCTATCTTTTTGGACCACTTGTCCCTACAAGGAACGCTTTCACCGCTGTTTCGTGACTGAAAGAAAGCGCCAGTGGGAAGCTCGCGAGGCTTTGAAAGCAATAAATCACAAGTTGGCTTTTGTGACTTCTGATAATCCAGCGGCTGCCGTGAGATTCACAGAGGGAAATTTTTGTGCAAAACGCCATGACGCTACCACGATTAAGAATAACATTGATGACCTTTCGAAGCTGAAGGTCAAAATCGATGAGCTGAATGCGAAAGGAACTAAAGATGATAATGCACTGTTCGATTCAAACGGACGGTATATTAGATCTGGCCACAAATTTAGTCATGATATCAATGCGAGAGAAGAATTTCTGGAGAGTGTGAAATCAATCAAAAAGACTATTGGCGAAACTATGGAGCTGTTGGAGAAGGCTCGAGACAAAGTGGCGTCCATTTTCTCATTGAAACAGGGAAACGCGCCTAAACGGAAGTCGCAAATGCGACAACAGAACCGCCACAAGAGCGAAAAAAGGATAAGACTGCGCTACAAAGAAAATGAGGAGGCAATTCAACGAAAGATTCTCCAGATCCAGGAAGACACTGAACTTACCTTGGATAAAGACTTCGTTATCGACCACGACATCCTTATCACTGATGCAATTGCTACACTAAAGGTACACGAAATGTGCTACTTGTCTTCCATTTCAAACAACATCCCATCGTCCACTCAAGCTGTCCAAACAATCAGAGCCAGCCTTTCAGAACCTTGCTTCCGGAAGTTGGTCTGGATTGATGCGTCGGTGCCATGCGAAACAAACCCGTGGAGATAAACATGTAACAATCCAAAACAAATCTGCTGTGTCACTAGAACAAGAAGAAGATGTAAAAAGTGAGAAAGATCAAGATGAGATGGAAGAAGTGGATGAGGTAGAAGAAGATGACAACAGTTCCTCCTTTAAATTTTAGTTCAGCATGGAACAGAACTAAAAACGTTGTTAAAAGTAAATTTTGCCCTAACACTTGCCTTTTTTCACGGGCCTTGTACACCAAGTATCAGGAATGATACTATAGCTCTACATAAAGTCTAGACGGCCACAAAGCCTAAACGTCAGAGCTAGACGTGCACAGCAGTAACGTCATGAAAAAACAATGCGTGGGCTGTTGCTGAGGAAGTGTCTTCGAATTGACGACTCCCCAGCGCCACAGGGGTATATTTCAGCATTTTTGGTTGACCGATTAGAAAACAATTTTTCTACAACCGTGAGTGCTTGAAAGAGTATCTAGGAGTCACCAACAATCAAAAGAGTTCTGTTCCGGGGCATGGGTATTTTTCCAAGCTAGAACAATTTGAGAGCCTCCATTGTGAGAAAGGAGAGCTTTTTATGGTGTTGTTTATTTCGCAGAAACACATAATGCTTGAAATCGAAAACTCAACTAAACCAGTAAGGGAGGTTTTCTGCAAACAGAAAATACGCTTAGAACAAACAAAATACAATATACACAAATACAATGAAAACTCACCGACTGTTCGAGCTTAGGGTTTCTATGAACAACGATAATTCACTGTAACAAATATCTCAACATGAACGCGACAATTTTCCTTCCAAAAGCACGTGGGCGCTTGCCCGGATGTTTTAGGTAAAACATAGGCCCACAATGGGAGCTACATATGTAGTATAGGCGCATATCGTGTCAAGAGCGAAATGGCCAACTATGTAAATTTTGCGAGAAGGACGAGACTACCAGCGCTCCACTTTCAACTTGACGACCATATCCCGACTATGACAAGCTACCAAACTTTCATTATCTCTCTCGGAGTGCAACCCCCACCAATGGCCGTGTGCAGGACGACTTCCAGCCTCGAGCTCAGATTAAGCGATTGTTTATGAAAGTGAACTAGTCAGTGGGGACAGTGAGGCTATTAGAAAGTTTTCAGATAAATACATTGTCCTTGAAAAGCTTGTGCCAGAGTATGTCGAGCACCTTGCCCAGATAAAAATGCGCAAGGAGGGCGGACGAGCTATCCTTGTACTTTTCCCATCAAAAGATCACCTTCAAAGGGAAGAAAGCTAAAAAAGGTCGCAATGATCAAAGCGCACATTGGCAGCTTGCTGTACGATTCGATGGAGTGTCAACAACCTCGGCAGCCCTTACAAAGAAATATGCAGCAAAAAGTGACCTCATCACTTTCCGAGGTTGAAACTGACTCGCAAGGTGATGTAGTAGATCGAGTTTTCGGTTCAAGCCCGAGTACCTTAAGTGACGAATCGTCACCGGAGACTGAATTTATACCAGAACCCCGCGCAGAAACATTACCGCCGTCAAAATATGAACGAAAGCGGGCACGGGCCGAGAGAGGCGATTATGATAGTTGGGAGAAGACAGTTTTTTGATATAATATTTCGACACCTGTAAATAATTTAGATTAATCTTGACTGGTAGCTTTACTTGTATATACAAGTTTAAGGTTTCTATACACTTCGCGTGTTTGTTAACAAAGAAGAGTCAACTAAGCGACATGGATAAATTTTTTTCCTTCCCAAGAAAAACAGTGACCCTTCCCCAGTTGCGAATAAAACAGGTTTGAGCCCCCCCAATTTGTGAAAAATTGACTAATGACCCTCCCCTCCGAAGCCCCGGCCCACCCCCTCCCCCCCAATAAAAAACGTACCTTCCCTTACAATCTCACGATCCAATGGAATGCTGCATTTGTTCTAAGAGACATCAATAAACTTATTCTCCTTGTCAGCTCCTGATTTCTTCTCATCTTCAGCATTGCATCTGATCTTCGAAAGATCATCAGACTGAATACCTTCTCTGAACATGCTCGTCCTCTCATTCTCAGTCAAGAAGAGGTCCTCACAGAGCTTGAATAGATCATAACCATCAGTGTCCTGCGCGATTTCTCCTGCGAATTTCACAGTCAGCCTGTCAACAAGAGCTCTTGCGACATTTTTCACGATATAATCGTTTGCGTGACCACTAACTGCCAAGTCAAAGATGAGTGAAAGAGATCCTGGCACAAGGACAACTCCGTCACCAAGCTTTGGAACTGGGACCCTAAGGACTTCACTTGGAGATGCCCTATTAGGGCGAAATGTTACTCTGTGAATTGCGCGGTCAGCCCTGAGAGCGTTTGAAGTCTTTTTTTCATAATTTGGGTTTTTTTTTTTTTTTTACTGACTTCCATCTTGAAAAAAAATTTGATATTTTATTTGGGAGATACTGATCGTCTATTGGAACACAGTGACGCTGATGATGATGAAGATGAAGGAAATAGATCAACACCTTTTCAGCCAGATTACGATTCAACTCGCATTGTGCAAGAAACAATAAATTTCCACAAATAAACATGTGAGAAATAGTGGCAATTATGAATTTAAAAGAGTTTCGTAAAATAAATACCTGCTTTAGAATTTATTTATTTTGAACGAGTGCGTGACACGATATCGGCAGAGAGCGAGACCGCGTGAGAACTCGTAGGAATGGAGGTGCCTCGTGACAAAAGTCACGCACTTTCTGTTTCAAGCCTGCACAGAGTTATGGGCCATGGGACTCCCCCTTTCGTTTTCACAACGCGCAACTGAGATTCTCCGTTCTCTGGCAAAGGTTTCGACTCTCTCTTCGTATTTTCTCAGTCTTAGTGACTTTTTGTGAAACATTTCTATGGTGTATTGAGGAAGCAAGGTCGTAAAGCAGTCAAACGTGCCTTCCATTTCCGCGACAGAGGTTAGAACGCATGGTTGTTTCAGATTTTTGAATGTAAGGTAAATACTTTTATTTCGCGTTTCTCAGTCAACATTTTCTCCTTCAAATGCTCTTAATCTGTCCTAATTTTCTCTGATTTCCGGCGATGAAAGACATTCCTGCTGTTGACTGACGAGGATTGCCAACTTTTATTTGATTCTGGCGTGTATTAATTGTATTGACGCTTAGTGTGTTACTTGTAAGCTAATTGAGCTGAGCTTACACGAACATGTTACAACTGTCGAATTCCCAAAAATTCTCGGCCAATACCTGACATTTACCTCAAAAAATAATTAATTTGGGAGAGTTACAAGGAATCTCCAAATTACCCATTCGATTTAGTGCAAGCGCTGATGATCGAAACACTTTCAGTTTCGTTTGCGTGTCATGTGCATGTGGAGGCAAATTGACTGAAAACCTGGATGCTCAGTGATACAACTTATCTGGGTTTCAGGCCATTTTGTCACAATTGCCCGATTTCCGTACAAAAAACACTTTCATGAGTTGTCGGCATTGGTTGACAAGTTCCACACTCGCACCTTTGATAATTTTATATAAAACACTCTCAGAAGCTCAAGTTTAAAAAAAATTCTGTTGCATTCCTTTAGATTGTACCCTTGCTTTATTGCATTTTTATGTTAAATACAAATAAATCACAAAGTAAATTAAATATCAGTCTGAGTTTCCGTGACGGTCGCATCGCTGTCGACATGTTCTGTACTGTCTTCGTGCGGATCGCTTCGGTGAACCCTACGCGACTCATATTGTTAAGGACGTGGCCCAGACTCTCCTGAAGATTCTGGATTATCCCCAGCGCTGTCATCTACTAAGCTTAAGGCATTCGAGTCGCTATCTTCTGAAAAAAACATCATCCGAACTACCGCTACTTACACGAACTCCCACACCAGTTTTACTGGGGAATATGTGTTGCGCAATATTTTGGTTCCACCACTTACGTCACGACTTCTCGCTATTGTTTTTACCGGAAATGGAATTTCAGTTGAAAATGCCGATCTTCTCCTAAAATAAGTCGAATTGGACAAAACTAATTTCAAATTCATTTTCTACGCCACTTTTTACATAGTATGAGAAAATATGTATTTTTGGGTTTACATGCCCTTTAAGCTTTCATGTCTGGATTATGTGTTTAACTCAAATTGCTCCCGTATTTGAGATGCATTTAATCAAAAAGCGATAAACATTTCCAACGTATTTCATGTGTTTATGTTCATTATTTTATATTTTGAAAGTAATTTTTTCTTTTTGATAGACTGCTTAGATTGTCCTTCCAAACTGTACTGCTATACTGATTTCCTTGTGAAATATTGAGACAAGTTGATTTTCTTCAAATGTCAGCTGGTGATTAAATGGAAGCGCCCTTTTAATTAACTGAATTCCAGTTATAGGAATCCAATTTATCAACTGGTAATGATTGATTGGTATTTGGAGTAAAGTTTTACCTTTTGTCCTCTTTTAATCAATATATGATCAATCAATGATCACATTAAAACTGGTTAAGTTCTGCATGTGGCTGCACCTATCCAAGTATGTGCGGGTGATAATTTATGTTATCACATGGCAAAGTAGGCTTGAAGTAAATAAAAAGTTCTGATTGGTTCTTACTTGATCAGGATTTTCCCATACACAGCATCCTCGCACCATACAGACAATTACAAAACATGTGAATTCAAAGCAAACTAGTTTAGTCCAAGTGACATTAGTGCATGAAATTACCTTGCTTTCTTGAGTTGTACTGGGAAATATTGATACTATGCCATTTGTTTACTGCTGTAATCTTGGGCCAATATTCCCCAGTAAAGCCCTAGTGCTCAACTGGGTAGTTCGAAGTTAGAAATGGCTTTGTAAAATAATTTACTCAGTACATGTATCTCTGGCTATTTTGAATTCCAGTACAAGTGATTTCCTTGTTACTCTTTATTGAATTTATTTGTACATGAAGACAGCTAACAAGGATTATTTGATATTTTAAAAACAAGCCATCTTGATTATTAGGAGAATTAAAGTTAGCATCAAAGACAAATCAATTTTGTGCATAAAACAATGTAAACATGAAATGAATACAAAAACAATTTGTTAAATATACATATACTAGTAAACCTTCACCTGTACCGAATTGAAATCCCTTTCAACATACATCAGCATGCATAAATGTATATATTTCACTGTTTTTCCAGCAATAAGTGTAACACTTGAACTAA